GCACGAACGAGCTCAGCTTGGTATGGAGGCAGATGTGCCAGATTCTGAGTTCTCTTGGCGTGTTGGACCTGCGGAAACTGTGAGACGCGTGGTGGAAAGCCCTATCAGGGACGAAACCTACCAGTTTGATGCCCAAGTCTCCATACATCCTACAAAAGACTCTGATCTGTTATTTTGCTTGTGGGATTGGCGTTACTGGTATTATTTTGAGCACTCTAATTCCGAACAAAGAGCCTCTTATGCGTTGCCAGTATGTTGCGAGAAAGAGTGTTGAATGTCTTATCCTTAGGTGGAAATCCAACTTTGGTTTGGCGGCTGCTAGAAATCGAGATCACGCTGAGGCCCCACCATCCTCAACCGCCCATACAGGTACGGAGTACTTTGCTATCCAGCATCCCGTGTCGCAGATAATAGATCGAATACTAGACGAATTTTGTTGTAGGAGTAGATATTTTATTTGACAACAGATATTAGATGGATGTGGTCATAGTAGTAACTACTAGAGGAATATAAGGTAGCTACTCCCTACTCTCAATTGTAGATTCAATGTTCCTGTGTCATAACGGTAGCTGATTGCAGTTTAAACATTCACTTGCCACGACATATTACTGGAGTAGTACTCTTGAACGATAGCATTTCTTTAAGAATCTAGATTATAATTCCACATATATAGTATTATTGTAAATTGGCATTGAACCATCTAGCACCGCCTTACCTTTCACCAAGACAATCCGCCGCAGTGTTGCAATTTCATTCAACAGCTGCTGTTGTAGCTAGATTTCCGATATGTCATGTCCAGCTTGGACATCGTACTGAAATATCATCTTTAGAAGCTAAAGCAGCACTCTAGTTAGCAATGCTGCTGAATACGCATGATAATGAACTGAAAGAAGAAGAAAATCATGGTGTAGAGTTCAGTGTTGCACAATGTGCTTGTTGTGTCGTCTTGCGGCGGGTCTTGAGGCCGCCTCCGAAACACGGACCAATTGTTTTCATCATAATGTCTCTGGGGATTGCATGCTGTGAAATGAAAAGAACTTTTGGATTCTTACCTGTCGTTTGACGCTGGAAGCTTTCGTCTGAATATCAGTACTATGCCGTGAGCTTCTCGATCCAGCCGGCGCAAGATATCCCGCGTGAGAGAAATATCATGTCTCTCGTAGAATAGCTGTGCAGAGACTAGCTATTCACTGGATTTGGCACAAAGACTGCTTGATTAAAGAAGTCTTTGTTTGAGATGGGAGAATAGAAGGAGAGAAAAGTTGGCTGCAGATGGAAGCTTATTTATTCGATCGACAAAAAATTGCTGCTCTATCGATATGGGATAAACATCGGCCCGAAGCCCCACTCTTGCTCCAAGCTCGACGTAAGAGCTCCTGTAGCCTACAGTAACGCCCGCCACCAAGCTGGCACAGGCGGCATATCGAGTTCAGCATCAAGCAAGCCTTACCTCAATTCTGTACGGACCTCTCTCTCTCACAACATCAACGGAACCGTCCTAGGCACAGCTCACCGGGTGTTTCACAATGCCGATTGCACCTATAATCACATTCAAGGCCGGCCAGTGTGACGTCGACGTAAGTTACCCGCAAAACGAACGCCGTTTCATCCCACCTGGCTGCTGACATTACTCTTCCTACCTAGACGTCGTCGAAGCCATACAAGGTCACGCCACAGCCCGAGCCTGGCTACATCTATCTATATTCCGAAGATGGTCAGTAATACGTGGGGTTGGCTAATATTTGAGCAACCATTAACACGGACTAGATCTGGTGCATTTCTGCTGGCGACGACGGGACCAGCCGCTGGATGACCCCGAACTCGACCTCGTCATGGTTCCCACAGACGGTAGCTTTCTCCCATACGAATACAAGACCACCCCTCAGCCCACAGCAAAGACCAACGGCCGCATATTCGCTCTGAAATTTGCCTCTTCCTCTCAGCGCCACCTTTTCTGGATGCAGTCTAAGCCCCAGGGACGAAGTGGCGAGGCGAGCTACTTCAGCCCCCGGGATCGCAAGATCGGCGACATTGTTCACAGACTCTTGCAGGGCGAAGAGGTCAACGTGACGCGGGAGCTGGCCGCTGTTCGAAACAACAACGATCACCAAGACGACGAAGATGAAGCAATGGAGGACATCGAGGGCCACGGCCACCAGGATCACCACGCGGGAGGCAGCGGCGGTGCTGGTCCCGATGCGACGGGAGGCGATATAAGAGAGGAGGGCGAGGGCTCGAGAGAAGGCGGAGCTGATGGAGCAAGAGCGTAGGTAACCCCCCCTTATTCTTCAAGGCTGGTCACGACACGGCCCGCGCAAGGTTGTCTGGTTCCAATCACTGGTCTCCGAGGGTCAAGAACATGTTTTGGCATCAAAATGAAGGCCAATTAATGTACTAAGAAACTTCCTTGTACCTTTGAACAGAGCTACGCCAAATGATATCATGATTCTACCACGTGACTGAAGCAACTCGGAGGCGACGAAGCTAATTTTCTTCCAGAGCTTCGTCTTCAACCCCAGATGCGGCGGCTGCAGTAAGAAACTTTCTCGAGTCCCTGAGAGGCCAATCCGGCCTTTCTGGAGGAGGACAGCAACAGCAACAGCAGGCAGATATTGCCTTTCCTTACCTGAGCCACCTCCTACCAACCTCCATCACAGTCCCCATCGTCGATACCCTCTCAGCTAAGCAGGTAGACTCACTCCTCAGCTTCCTACCACCGGCTGTCATTGTGCTCGCTAGTGACACAGTCGAGCTCGACGGTAGATCAGAACCAACTGCTGATCAGATCAAGGCTGCCAACGAATCATTGTCATTGGCGCAAAAGCAAGTCTTGTTGAAGAAAGTCCTTCGAAGCCCCCAGTTCCACCAGGCCTTGGGAACGTTGACAATGGCTCTTCGGGACGGGGGTTTGCCCAGCGTTGCCGACGCGCTCAACGTAAAGGTTGAGAATGACGGGTATTTGCAACCTGGAATTCCCATGGGTGGTGGCTACGCGGTTAAGGCATTCATCGATGGCGTCAAGAAGACGGTCAAGGACAGTAAACAGTAACTGCTTTAGTACTGATGTTTGTTATGTCTCATGATATCAAGTAGAGGGCCTTGCTGCTCATTGGTATATTTACGGTTCTCTAGCAAGGAAGTGAAATAATTCGTATTATTTAATCCATCTTCTACTTTGCCTTTCACATGTTCTCGATTCCAGATATTTGTTTGTAAAATGACCGCCTCCAGGTACTTGAATGTTTGTTCCGTGAGAGCTCCTGGATGCAGGTACCTGGTGAAGACTGCTAGCAGTGGGGCTATGGGTGGGTTGCAGCGCGCTAGGCTATTGATAGATGCGGTGGGCACCCAATTTACAGCGGCATCATCGAATTCCTTACATGTATCCATTCCAGAAATCATGACCCGGTAACCATCTTTCTACTTCTCGCACTTCACTCCTCTTCAAAACACACGCGATGGACTTGCCTTTTCCAACCGACGTACAAGAATTCGACAGCGATGACCGCATATCTTTCTCTAAGCTGGACAACAAGTTCATCGCGGTCCATGACGATGGGACCGAATTTGAGTTCGATGCCGACCTGAAGAGATGGGTTCCTACGGACGAGGAGCCATTGGATGACGATTTAGACGATCTCAGAGAATATAGCGGAACCCCTGCAGATGATGATGCGTCAAGTAAGAAAAGGAAGCAAGGAGTGGGAAATGGAGACGCAGTAAGTTTGGATCGATTCCATCATGTCATGTGCTTACTCGCAGTATCATGGCGCAACTCCAGCGAGCGGCTGCTCTGGCGGAATACTGACGACCTATGCCTTGGATAGAACGCCGAAGCCCCCAGACCTGCGCGTCCAAATAAGAAGCAAAAGCCTCCACCGCAACCGAAGCAGAACACAGCCGTCTACGTGACCGGCCTCCCCGCCGATGCCACGGTCGACGAAGTCCATGACCTGTTCTCTCGAAAGGCCGGCGTCATTGCTGAGGAGATTGATAGCGGAGCGCCGCGAATCAAGATGTACAACGACGCCGACGGCAATTTCAAAGGCGATGCGCTCATCGTCTTTTTCAAGCCCCAGAGCGTCGACATGGCCATCATGCTGCTAGACGACACCAATTTTAGATTTCTGCCCAGTGGGACGACGGAAGGAAGGATTCGAGTCCAAGCCGCTGATTCAAGCTACAAAAAGACCCAATACGACCAGGAGGGGGGTGCTCGCGAGGCAAGCAATGGCAATGGCCAGAAACGACAAAGGAACGAGAGAGATCGACAGAAAATCATCAAGAAGACACAGAAGCTGGACGCGAAGCTGGCTGACTGGGACGACGATGATCCATACGCGTCATTGGTGCCATCCAGCTCGAAGTGGGACAAGACTGTCATCCTACGGCACATGTTCACTCTCCAAGAGCTGGAGGAGGATCCTGCTGCCCTGTTGGAAATCAAGGAAGACATCCGAGACGAGTGCTCCAAACTTGGCGCCGTCACCAGCGTGGTTTTGTACGATTTGGAGCCCGATGGCGTGGTATCTGTCAAGTTCAAGAGCACCGAATCCGCAGCCGCATGCATCAAGCTCATGAATGGACGAAGCTTTGGCGGCAGCACTGTTGTCGCATCACTATCGAAGGGCGAGAAATTCAAGAAATCACAGAACGAAGCCAACGAGGACTCGGATTAGAAGGGGGAGCAATGGGAAGAGGTATAATTGCTACTTTCTCTGCCCATCCCAGATTTTATCATTTGTAAATTGCATTGATGGCTACTTTTATAAAGTAGTATTGACTGATACCCCTATAAACCTACAATTTTTCAACCCATGATTGTCTGCCCGCCCTAGTCACGTACTTGCTGCCCCATGATTCCATCCTCATATCGTTGCTAAAGATTTCATGCTATATGCCATAACAAAAATAAATAATAAAAATAGATAAACGCCATTCGCTGTAAAAGTCCCTGAAAAAAACATGAATTCCGTTCCAAAAGAGGCTAGATCCTAGGTTCATTTGGCGTTGATGTCGACGTCTTCGGCAAGGGTGTACCAAATGGCAGCGTTGATGATCTTGCCCACGATTTCAAGTTCCATGGCATCTGCAGATGCTGTTAACATGACTTTGTTCGAAAAAATGGGGGCCTTGAAGATACAAAACTCTTACCTCTGGGCGCATAAACCATGACAAAGTCCTGAGACACGGGCATCTGGATGAATCTGTTCTTCCACGCCAGCGGATGCCTCTGTCCCCAGCCCTTTTGCAGGATTTCCTTGATGTCATTCGGGTGGAGACACATGTGCATGGAGTGATCGGAATCGTGGACGTGGGCAATCTCGCCCTGGCAGTTGGTTTGCAGCGGATGTCTCGCAAAGAGGGCCAGGCCGTGCTTCTCCAGGCACGAACGCTCAGTGCCAAACTTGTTTGGGGTCTTTGCGCTCAGCCTCTCCATGGCTCGGCGGAGGGCGATGTAGCATTGGCGGGAGCCGTGCTGGTCGAGCTGCCGCTGGGGTGCGATGCCAGCTACAACAGGTCGAGGGCCAGCACGGTAAGGGAGATGCTTCCCGGCCAGCACGCCCGTCTTGGGGTCGCGGTTTGGATCGGGCATTGGGGCTGTGAAGGGGTCGCGCAAGGTGAGCATACGCAGGTAGGTTATCCGGATATAGCCCTGGATGGTCGACGGCGTGCCTCCGGGCCCGAGGTTGAGGAAGTTGCGATAGTCGTTGTGGACGAGCAGGGCGACGGGGATGAGGCACACGAATGCCTCGGCCAGATATGAGTCCAGGAAGTGGATGGCGAGGACGACGCCCAAGGAGACGATGAATACGGCGGTGCCGTCTAGTGTGATGGAGATGGGCTTTTGTTGGACAATGCAGGAAGCCTTCAGCAATTCCACCTCGGAGGAGTGTACGGAGGATGCTTCGTCGACATCAGGAATCAGAGACAGAGACGTTATTGTCTCGGTTGGAGCAATTGACATGGACATGACGGGCAACGTGGGGGAAGAGGGGCAAGTATCGGTAGAGAGACGATACAGTTTTAAGCACTCGACAGAAGCCAGCTACGATACGCAACTGGTCCAAGTAAGAGGTTGGCACATGTGAGGGAGTCGCGGACAAGTTATATGTCCCGTCACTCGTGCGAGGTGTGAAGCGGCAGGGTCTAGGTCAGGGGGACGTCCGGCGGTCGGCGGCAGAGGATCAGTGGCGGCTGATTGCCTGGGATGTTTTTCCTTTCGAATGTTGATTGCATTCAATGGGTCTTGGGGCGGGTGGTGAGGAGTTGTCTGGCCCCAGAAGAGGAGAGGAACCAATGGCTCGAACCGGTTAAGCATTGACGCCTGTGATGGTGGCTGAGGGTTAGAGTGAGGGTTTCTGCATCATATCACGTTCCACGAGGTAAGGGACTGGTTGCCGTCTTCGCTGATCCTTGATCCAGCAGATCACGAGGAGGATGACTGTATTCAGGGTTATGACGTTGGGCTGATGTCGGTTGGAGAAACGATGCGTTCAAGCTTTCACCCATTTGTTCCAAGCTAGAGGAACGCTAGGCGGTTTTACATGGTGGCGGCAGGCTCTTTAGCGACAAGCCGATATTCGAGGTTTTCTGGGAGGATTCGTTGCTGCTCACTAACATCGACATCACGCAGACCAGAAGTATCACTGCTCTGAGGACGGAGGGCGTGAAACAGGCTGGCCACCCCTTTTTCCGTGTTGCGTTCCGTCTGCGACACAAGGTCTAGCCTCGCCTCGACTCGAGGTGGGCAAAAGACAGCAAAGCAAACACAGTTCCAAACTAGCTTGTCAAGTAAGATCTCACGCCGAGGGCCCCGGACGAGCTTGTGGCGCAATACTCCGCATTGGCAGCAACGCCGGAAGACTGACCCGACGGCTGGGGGCCTGCCTTTGACCATGTCGTGTTGGCATTTCCGGGGTCATGCGTACTTGGAAACGAAGCACTTGTTGTAAACGCCGGACTGCCTATTGGTCAAGTAAGTAGATAGACTTGACTGCCTGGCTACCTAGGTAGTAACCTAGGTAAGTAGGGATAATGTAGGGGGCCGTTGCTCACCGATAGATGGCCGGGGTATTACTCGTAGTTTCTTGTACAGTGGCCTCCCCTCCATGGACTCGCTTCAGCTCCGCAGAGCCGGTCTTAACTCGAGAGCCGCATGAGAACCACCCGATTCGCCCCCTTGGGTGAGTTATTGGTTTAGGGGCCGATTTAGGAAACCGTTACGGATAATGGTTAACCGGAACCTTGATGTGCTCCGTACTTGTACATGAGCGGCATGCACTGCTATCTCCGCAACGAGACCTCACAAGAATGCAGGGTAACCATGTTTAAAAAGAGCGAGGATGCCCCGTGGTTCGTTCGGTTGAATTCCGACAAGTTTGCTCTTTTGGAGAGCTGGATGGGTGGCTAACGGAAGTGCTATTTTAGTAGCAGAGCATTGATAACATACAGCCAACGCTACAGTATCCGATGTGACGGTTCGAGAAGCCGCTGTCAGTGATATAATCCCAGCGCTTCTGCTTTTAGGCTGGAGATGAGAGATGTTGCTGCTTTGAGGGCTCTCTGCCCAATCGAGAGGCTATACCTAGGCGCTATCGGGGCGTTGCCCAGCAACCCAACGCAGCCAATCCCACTATCGTCCATCCCTGTCGCTGCCAAGCCCAGCTCAGCGTGACATGGGCCGCGACGACTTTGTTGCCATTTTGCTCTCGAAAACCTCCATGTGCGGGCTGTTATCTCTCATGCCTTTCACCATTCTCTCTTGATACCGCGAATTGGTGATCGCGCAAGCGTATTCGGCCGCTGTTTTTGGCATCTCATTCGGACCTAGATTGGCGTTTGGACAGTACTGCTTGTTTACAGGGCTGACGCAGACCGCATCGTTACTTGACACTGCACAAGCCGCCCTGCGGCGCTAAATTACCTGAAGTGGAAATAAGAGAGAAGAGAGAACAGAAACACATCGGCTGGTGGTATGAAACAATATTAGACATTCTTCATTCCAGCTTCATACCGCTAACTTCGTCTCTTCGCCGCATAGACATCGATCTTCCATGGGCCTCTCCAATCCGTTGCGGCGGTCCCGCGAAACGCGGCTGCCCATGTACCGGAACCCCAATTCGCCTGCGAAAGAGCGCTCCTCCAACGATGGCTACTATTCCTCTTCAGACGGTGATTCAGAATCATCGTTTTCAGGGCCATCGTCAGATGGGTCAAGAAACGTATCCGAGTCATATCCTGTGCGACCGCTGCTAGTTCAGAAGAGGAACCAGAGACCTACCTCTCAGCGACCGGGTGGTTTCTACCCTTACAGACTGCCGCCGCGAGTTATCCGCTATGTCTTTCTTGCGATAACTGGGTTGATAATCCTCATGATTATTAGCCTGGTACGGGCGAGCCAGCTGGAGAACTGGAAAGTTGCCAACGGCCAAGTCAACAGTCGACCGGCGCCTCCCCCTCTGTGGGAGAAATTTCCGTTTCTGGAGAGGTATTATGGCGGCATACGCACCTTGGTCCCTTTTGAGGAGAACAAGCCCGAGTATCCCAAGTCCAACGAACACGCACCCTCGAGTCCGGCATCGCCAGCCCAAACGGCTTCAACTGGCAAGGTGGAGGGTCGCGAGGCTGGATTCCCTACCAGTCATTCGTGGGAAGACTACGCTGGGCGGAGTAAAGATACTGGTATTAAGGAGTGCTTCCTGGATGCTGCTGGCAAGATTCGCCCACCTCCGCTTCGTTATTACAACGGCCGGCCCAGCGGCTTCCCGCTGCATGTCACCGGCGCTTACGACGTCCTTAAACTACCCGAAGAAGTTTGCTTTGAACGCTATGGAAAGTTTGGCCCTTATGGGTTTGGATATTCTACGCGCACTGGTGGTTTAGGCACTGGAGAGAACAGCGAAAATGAAGGCGCGGATTCGGTTTGGGGATCTGGTTCGCGCATAGACTATCGCGAGATTAACTGGGCGGAAGTTCAACAGCGCTGCTTCCAGGCTAATGCTGGGATATACAAGGAGCTGCCGGCAAAGACACCCTCCCCTCAAGGCTTCTATATCAGCAACTCCAAAGGGGCAAAGGTCCAATCTCGTGACTCTGGGCCGAAAGACGACGGCAAGACCAAGACTGAGGGCACCGAGGTAGCCAAGCAATCACGAACCGCCATTGTTGTCAGATGCTGGGATGAGTATCTTTTCCGAGAAGATGATTATGCCAACCTTCGATCGATGATTTCCGAGCTTTCATTAGCTTCCGGAGGTCGATACGACGTTCATCTACTAGTCCAGGTGAAGAACGATGCCAAGCATCCTGTTTGGGCCGACCACGAGATCTACGAGAAGAGGATTCGAGACACTATTCCCAAGGAATTCCAGGGGCTGGTCACTCTTTGGACTGAAACGCAGATGCTCTCCCTGTATCAAGGCATCTATGATCTGTTCAGCCGAGGACCAGAACTCCCGGTTCATGGAGTGTATCGTGGGCTCACCATGGCCATGCAGCACTTTGCATACCTGCACCCGGAGTACGATTATTTCTGGCAGTGGGAGATGGATATCCGCTATACGGGACACTATTATGACCTGATATCTAAGCTCGAAAACTGGTCCAAGGCTCAGCCGCGAAAGGGACTCTGGGAACGGAACTCGCGATATTATTTCCCAAGCGTTCACGGTACCTGGGAGGACTTTTCACAGATGTCCCGAGTGCAGAGCGAAATGGGAACTCCTGGAGCGGATAATGTATGGAAGAACGTGCCTGGTGTTGGCGGTCAGCCCCCAGAGACGGTTACGAAGAAGAAGATCAAGACTGTTTGGGGCCCTATCCGTCCTTCAGATGAAAACGACTGGTTTGAGCATGAAAAGGATCCCTACCCACCGTCGGCGTATGATACCGACCACTACCAATGGGGAGTCGGCGAGGAAGCGGACTTGATTACTCTGAATCCCATCTTCGACCCTGAGGGCACTACATGGGGCCTAAAGGATGATATTACGGGTTACAACCGCTCAGCCCCTTCCCCTCCTCGGCGTGCCAGCATCATCACCACGTCTCGAATGTCAAGGCGCCTTCTCATGACGATGCACAGGATGACGGCACACAAGAAGCAATTCGCTTTCCCCGAGATGTGGCCCGCGACGGTTGCTCTTCAGCACGGCTACAAGGCTGTTTACGCACCACACCCCGTGTATGTGGACCGCAGCTGGCCTCTCGATTACATGGTCTCGACATTCAATGGTGGCCGCGATGGAGCTACTGGCGGATCAAGGACTAGCCTCTTCGGCGACCGAGAGCACAACCTCAGGGGATTGACTTGGTTCTATAACTCTGGCTTCGGGCCCAACTTGTACAAACGCTGGCTGGGCTTGAAAGTAAACAACGACGGCGGAGAAGAGTTTGAGAAGACAGAGGATAAGAGCCGAGCTGGTGCTGGAGTCAGCGCCATGACCGGAGGCGAGGGTCGCATGTGCCTCCCTCCTATGCTTCTCCATCCCGTTAAGGAGGTGGACATTCCCATTGAGGCTCCTCCAGAAGAGGATGAGGCGACGAATGAAGTGCCTGAATCAGACCCAGAGGCCTGATCGTCCCGAGGGCAGCTGATTTTGCTATCACGGTTTTCTTTTTTTGGGGGCGACTTATTGAGCATTAGGCCAGGCGTCGCTGTTGGTTGGATATTCTTTTCCCTTTCTTTTTCTTTAGACCTTTGGGTATATGACATGAAAGTCGTGATGATAGAGATACCCATATAATATGATGGGATGTATAATCCGTACGATATTATATACTCTTCCATTAGAGCTGGGAGATGATGAATTGAATGCTGTACATATTGATTGCTTTCTGTCTAACAACTCGTGAACCCTCCGCCACTCCCTTCTTTGCGCAATGTGGTGGTATATTGTCAGGGAGAAAGACTAGATTTAACGACAAGAGCCTCTCTTTGTACTGTAATTTTTTCATGCGAACATAAAACCATTATTTTTATGCCCTTGAACTTGCACTTTTTTTTTCTTTTCCGATGCGGTATTCGTCCCCTGTTGCCCAGAACAAGGTGTTCCTCTTCCGCTAATACTCAGAATCTCCCCCTTTTTACGCCAATTGAACGTGCAATTGCCTGCCAGATGTTTTTCTCCTAGCGCAGATGAAGCATGCAAAGACTGTTCTCCCAAAGCCCGTCTTGTGAAGGCGAAACTCAGACCACTCGCTTGACCTCAAAGAAGCGACGCAGCCACCAGACCTGGAAGAGGGATTCACCAATGACGATGCCGATGACGAAGAGGTTCCACCACTTGACTCGGGAGTTTGTGCTCTCAGCGGTGTTGCGGTGGGTGCGCTCGCGGACGACGATGTACTGCTGCTCGTCCTTGATCTGGGCGAGAAGATCGGATAGGCGTCGGACTGAAGTTCGATATAGCGTTAGTGACACTTTCAAGTAGCTGCTTGGCATTTGTAGGGAGGGCTGTCATGTACCTTCGGACTCGAGAGGATCGCTGGGGCTGTCTGCTTCGTTGACATATACGATGCCGTGGACGTTGAAGGAGACCTCCTTGGTGTTGGCGACCCAGTGCTGGTTGCCAAAGCAGTAGGTGTATTTGCCGTCAAGGACGGCCGTGAAGGAGTGATCGCCGTTGGAAACTGTCCTCTCGTTGATCTGGAACTCGCTTATGGGGTTCGTGATCTGTCCAGATGACATGTATTAGCTGACATGAAGCTCATCATTTCCCCCGTATTCCGCCCTTCTGCCTACAAGGCATCCCATCCCGGGGGGTGAGAGTGAGCTTGAAATCACGGGGGGGACTGAGTCATAGTTCATACCCAAAAGTCAATGTCGAGGTTGCCTGCGCTGCCAAACTCGCGGTCGCCGACCTGGAAGGTGACGGTCATCTTGTCGTCCTTGTGGAGGCTCTCGTGGAAGCACTCGATGCCACGGGCCGGCAGCACGATGTTGTGCGCCACCACAGCTTGGAAGGCCATGGCGGCGGCGAGGAACGTCCTCGCTGCTGAAAGGAGATGCATGTTTCGAGGGGCTGGAGAGAGAGAGATTGGACCGGTTGGGACGACGGGAGATTTGGGAAGCTCTGGGCTTCTGGACTTCTGGCTTCTGGCTGCTATCACCAGTTTTGGGGTCGCGAATCCGAATTGACCACCTTGGCCTACAATTCCCCAGCCCACCTGCCGCCCTTGAACCAAACACGCCCGCCCTGCAGTCCCAGCTACAGGGCTCGCAGGCCCCGCGGTTTTACCGACAAGGCCTCAGGGGCACGAGAGGATCGAGATACAGCCACGATACTTTGGCGAGAGATCCGTGGATGACGAATAGTGGGCCGGACGGGTGGAGAGCGGGCGTTCTGGGGCCGGGATGGATGTACCTTGCGAGTACCGTTTGGGCGCGATAAGGCTCGAGGCGGCGCGGGCTGGTAGAGGCGAATCTGGGCAGCAACGTGCGGGCGGTACCCAGTACCTGTGTGTCGCAGCACCACTTGCCAGCAACCCTCCAGCGGTACAGTACAGTATAGTAGCGAGTCGTCGGTACTCGTACAGGTGGCCTCGTACAGCGAACCCAGCACCAGCTCCAAGTCGCCTATCGCAGCCCGCGCAGTGCCCAGTCAACGCCTGGCGCCCCTTGCCCCTCTCCCTACTAAAAGCCTTAGTCGCTTGCGCCCCCCCAAAAGCCCAGCCAGGCAAATCCGGTTCCCTTTCTCCCACTCCGATCTTCCAGCAGTCTCACCGACACAAAACCTTACGAAGACACGACCCTTTCGCTTCGTCCTCTCGTGTGCCCAACGCGAACGCCCCCAGGTGAGTCTCCAGCGTCTCCTCGAGCCCTCGTGTCTTCTGCTCTCCCCCCAGCCTTGCCGCCTGCGCTGCCTGAATGCACTCGCTCTTTTCCTCGCTCTCCTCCTCCAAGGGGACACGCTAGCCGGAGAAGACAGCTCAGCGAAAAGCAAAAATGCGGCAGCCTGCTTCTGGCCCAATCCCATGCCCATCGCGGGCTTCATCCCATGCCCTGGATACTGTGTCCTCAAGCATCTCGCGAGCAACGCATCATCTGCTCTCGACGAGATAAATAGCCTCCTTCTGGGGCCTCTTGTGGTCGTTGGAAGAGTTGGGCCAGTCAATTGCGTGGCCTTGCTCTGCACTACCCCAAATCCTGTTCACGCCATCGTCGCTCCATTTACATCTTTTTTGCACACCACCTGAGAAAAATATTATTCGCCTCACAACTGCTTTTTATCCCCGTCTCGACTTGGCTTTGCCTGCTTACGCGTAATATCAAACAGGACACTTTATTTTTTCTTCTTCTATTCACATATTCGACGTTTGTTAGGCCGCGTCGCCGCCAGTCGCAATCATGGGTCTCGCCTTTTCCAAGATTTTCGACAAGCTATGGGGCAAGAAGGAGATGCGAATTCTCATGGTCGGTCTTGATGCCGCCGGTAAAACCACCATTCTGTACAAGCTGAAGCTTGGTGAAATCGTCACCACCATCCCCACTATTGGTACGGAAACTCCTCCATCCCGCACTCCGGTCGCCGCTCCTAGTGTCCTCTAACCTAACACCCCGCTTGATTAGGCTTCAACGTCGAGACTGTTGAGTACAAGAACATTCAGTTCACCGTGTGGGATGTCGGTGGTCAGGACAAGATCCGTCCTCTGTGGAGACACTACTTCCAGAACACCCAGGGCATCATCTTCGTCGTCGACAGCAACGATCGGGATCGTATCGTCGAGGCCCGAGAGGAACTTCAGCGTATGCTGAACGAGGATGAGCTGCGAGATGCCATCCTGCTCGTCTTCGCCAACAAGCAGGATCTGCCTGTATGTCGCCCCTGGCTTCAATAGCCCTGCTTCATCACTACTATGCTATGGCAACGGAAATACTGACTTTGAATCTTTGATAGAACGCCATGAACGCTGCCGAGATCACTGACAAGCTCGGCCTTCACAGCCTGAGACAACGCGCCTGGGTAAGTAGATGATTTCCAGAGAGGGCAACTGTCCAAGCCGCTAACCTGCCTCTCCTACAGTACATCCAGTCGACTTGTGCCACATCCGGAGATGGTCTGTACGAGGGTCTCGAATGGCTCGCCACCACTCTCCGAAAGGCTGGTCACCAGTAAACAGACTACCCCAGGACCCTCTACCGGTAGAGCCTCCCGCTCTCCATCCCGCTTCCCTACCGCAAACTCTCGCAAAGTTCTTGCCAAGCTCGAGAAGTCGGTTGTAATTTGCAAAGTTATATCGATCATACCAATCAAAATTAATCCATAAATTGTGCAACTCTTTTCTTTTCACAGTGCATTGCACCCATGCGCTCTCACATGCCGCCTGTCGTGAGCCTGTTGATATACATACCCTAACCATGTGTCTGAATTGGAGGGGGAGGATCTAGCTCTTGGAAAAGAAGGTTGTGTGGGCGTGTCTAGAAGACTTCGTTTGGAATTCGTTTCAAAGGGAAAAAACTAGAGCTGTGGATGATTGGGCTGATCATTGCCACTTACGCGTCGCAGCCACTCTCGAGCGCTCAAATAACTTGGAACGGAAAAAAGGAATACCTGCAAAAAAAGAAAGAAAAGAAAGAAGAAAAGGAAGTGGCAAGATTGACAAAATCCGGGAGAGGAAAGTTTGGGGGAGATGCGAGGGGGGACTCCTTGTTGTTACGACTGGTGCCTTGGGCTCATGCTTTGATGACGGTTGTGTCTGTTTTTTCATTGTCTCTCATGTCGTCGTCTCATTGCGCTAGATTGGCGGAGTTGGGTTGTTCGTTGAAAGGCCTCCCGGCTGGGAATGATCGTAGCGGATTGGAACGGATGGGTGTGAGGGAACAGGATTATCCGTGTTTCTACGCTTTTTATTTTTATTTTATTTCATTTCACTCTTCTCCTTGTCTTTGTTTTCTTCAATGTTTGATGACGATGATGTGAATTGGATGAATAAATATGTTGGCATTGCCACGTCTTGTTAAGGAAGGGAAATGAGGCTCTGTCATGAAACAGATTGATACGGATGACTAGCTGGAGGGATGGATGTGCAATCGCATGCGGTTGGAAAGATGATGGCTCAATATTATACTCGTATTACGATGAATGGACACCTAGTCTTTTTTTGATTTAATTCAATGATTCGTTTTCCGCATCTATTATTACATTTTTTTGTTGACGAGTCATTCCCGGCCGAGGCAAGTTCGTTGAGCACGTGTGCGGATTCAGCCTCGACTCTGCCTTGCTAAAATAAAACAAGAATAGATGAACCAGTAAGAAGGAAGGAAAGGGGGGGGTGGGTGTTGAAGAGTTTGCTGAATAAGATGCCAACTATAAAAAGCCGAGCCTAAAAAGAAAAGAAGAAGAAAAGAATTTGACAAAAAAAAAAGGTTCCAGGGGGAGTCGAACCCTCGCTGGCGGAATCAGAATCCGCAGTCATAACCGTTAGACCATGGAACCGTTTTGAAGCGGTTAGCCGCTTCCCATGGTTGGTTGCTTAGTGCATTGGCTAATTGCTCTTATAGAGTATTTGCTATTAGCTTTTGCAGACAAATTGCAAACTTGATGGTTTGAGCATTTATAGAGAAGTACAACATACTGAGTTCCATTTACAACATCGGCTGAGCATAAATGAGACGTCAAAGGGGCAATCCAGTCCACACGGTCTTGAGAGATTGATGATGGACTTTGGCATATAAAGGCGACGTATGGCAAGAAACGCCGCTATTAAAAAAAAAGCTTGAACTACATCTAAGTAATTTGTAAAAAGTTTTGATCGCTCCAGTGACCTTCTTTCCTTTTGGTTGATATATATCTTTTCCCTTCCCTCTTTTCCAATTCTTTGCTTCACTCAATTTTTTTTTCTTTTTCCAAATCCGTTAGTGGTGGAACAGACGCGTGTTCTGCTGGACAAAGGTTACGCCCAGCTTCTCGGCCGTCTCAAAGACGGCGCCGTCGTTTTGGCTGCCGCTGGGGGCGGCGATGTACTTGACGCCTGAGCGAGCAGCTCGGAAGACGTTGTCGATGAAAGGGAACTGCAGCATGGCCTTGGTTAGCCTCGTGACCGTGAAGAAGAAGGAAGATTAAGGGTTTTTTTGGTAGTATTGTTGCAACATGGTAAAGGGGGTAAACTTACAAAGGCGTCACTGGAGACGCAGACGTTGCTGAGCTGCTTCATCCAAGCCTCGCGCTCCTCAGGGGTAAAGGGAGGGGGGACCTGCTCGAAAACAGCCTCGAAAGCCTCCCTCTCGGCGCCATCCTTGGGGAGCTGGCCGCTGACGAGAAGGTCGATGGCGTTGCTCTTGTCGGGTCGCTTAGTGCCCTTCTTCCACTTGATCCCGAGGACACGCTCGTGGAAGCGCATCCACCAGTTGTCGGCCTTGTCACCCGCCAGACGGGTGCAGTGGATGCGGGACTGCTGGCCGGCGCCGAGGCCAATGACCTGGCCGTTGGCGGCGTAGCAGACGGAGTTGCTCTGGGTGTATTTAAGGGTGATGGTGGCAACGGTGAGATCGCGGGTGGCATTCTCGGGGAGGGCGCCAGCATCCTTGGGAGTGATGATGGTAGTGAAGGACTTGGGAGAGATCTCGGCGTCGTTGCGGTGCTGTTGGAGGGTGACGCCGTAGACGGTGCGGGTCTCGATGGGGCCGGGAGTGTAGTCGGGATCGATCTGGAGGACAAGGTACTTGCCTCCCTTCTTCTTCCGGAGGATCTCCAGCGCGGCATCCTCGTAGCCGGGGGCAATGACACCATCGGAGACCTCCTTGGATATGATGCTGGCGGTGGGAACGTCGACAACGTCGCTCAGGGCGATGACATCGCCGAAGCTGCTCATACGGTCGGCACCACGAGCACGAGCATAAGCCTGGGCAAGGGGCGAGCTGTCGATGCCCTCAATGTCATTGACAAAGTAGACCTTCTTCTCCTCGGGAGTGAGGGGCAATCCGATGGCGGCGCCAGCAGGAGAGACATGCTTAAAGCTGGCAGCAGCGGGCTTGCCGAGTGCCTCCTTGAGCTCCTTGACGAGGGGCCAGGCGTTGAGGGAGTCGAGGAGGTTGATATATCCGGGAGAGCCGCTCAGGACCCTGAAGGGAAGCTGCTGGTTGGCAGTATAAGCCGAAGCGGGCTTCTGGTGGGGGTTGGCACCGTATCGGAGGGCCATGTGCTGGTCTCCCGAGCCGGCGTACTCCTTGCGGAAGAACTCTGAGATGGCGGCATCATAGTCGGCAGTGTGCTCAAAGGCCTTGAGAGCATAGCGGTTGCGGCTAGTCTCACTGATCTCGCCCTTCTCCAGCTCGCTCAAGAAGCCGGCGTAGTCGTTGGGGTCGCTGAGGATGGTGACCCTCTTGTGGTTCTTGGCAGCAGCGCGGATGAGCGTCACGCCGCCAATATCAATCTCCTCGACGGCCTCGGGGATGCTGACGTTGACCTTGGCAACAGTATCCTTGAAGGGGTACAGGTTGCAGATGACGTAGTCAACCTTGTTGATGTTCTGGTCTGCAAGGTCCTTCTCGTCGGATTCGAGGTTGCGGGCGAGAATACCAGCGTGGACAGCAGGGTGCAGAGTCTTGACACGGCCAGCAAGCATCTCTGGCGCCTTGGTGATGGCGCTGACGTCCCTACACGCCGTGGCGCATTAGTTTTCTTGTCTCTTGTCTGGCCTTCGACATCTTCCTCCCGGTCGCGTGTCCATAGTCTCAACCGCAATTGACGGCTCTTTCTTTTCTTTTTCCATTTTCATACCCAGCATGAGAATTAGGATGATTCATACTCAACAGGAAATCCAGACTCGCGGATCATGCGAGCTGTGCCGCCAGATGCCAGGATCCGGACATTCTGCTGGGCGAGACCCTTAGCTAGGTCCAGCAGGCCGGTCTTGTCGTAGACGGAGACGATGGCAATCTTCTGGCTAGACATGATGGCGGGCGACTGTGCTTTTGCACAACTGAGGGGAATATGGGTAAGATGAGTCAAGGCAGAAGAAAAAGAGGAAGTATTTATTTCTCTCTCCTTTAGTCTCTTATACAAAAACCCAAGAGCCGATGTCGTCGGTTGCGGAAGGGAAAGAAAAAAAATGTTTGGCGGGGTAGCAGCGCAGGTCCTGTAGTGGGGTGTTGAGGGGAATGATTTGCGCTTTGGCGTTGTAATAGTGACGACGTAGCGGCTTGATTGGATGCGGCTGGGAGCTGTGAGGCACTTAATTAGAGCAAGAGCAGCAGATAGTGGATTGAGATAGAGGGAGAGGGAAAAAATGAAGAAAAAAAATGAAGAAAAAAAACTGCAAGGGGGCCAACGGAAAGACGGCTCGCACATGTGACAGGAGAAGGATTAGTCGATGGGATGTTTGCACATTTGTTGAGTCTATGAAGGTTTTCTTTTTTTTCTTTGCTTGAAGAGATGTATCATTTATAAGCTACTAGGTATGTTGTATTACTTTATGATCGAATCCATGAAATTTAGTCATATTTTTCACCCTGAATCATTAGTTTTTGAACGCAATGTTGGGAAAGCTTTTTCATCTTACCTAGCCGCTTTGACAATTGCGTGGTTTGTTTCTCAGCGCTAAAAGCTCCCCTTTGGTGCAGGAGAATCGAACGTATGTGGTCCCTTGGAAGCTATTTTGGGATGTGTTAACATGAGGCCAGTGATATGACAAGTTTATAAAAGTAATAGCTGGCGTGCTTCGGGCTTGTTTATTGATATCAATATCTTGTCCAATTCAAAATCAACAACCTCTGAACATAATATAGACACCGAGAACACAACACTAGGCACTCCATCTTGAACCGAGCAACTTCCGTTAAGAGTCACGACTTTTAGGCTAACACATCATCACTTTCTGGCACGTCACCACCGGGACCGAAGGATGTATTCTTCGAAATCAGTCGAATTAGAGCCTGAACACCGCTTGTGCCTCCAGTAATTTTGATCGTGACCTCATTTTTTTGTTGGTATAGACTGCCGTCCTAGCAAGCCCATCCGGGACGCCTCCCGTCCCAGACCGAGGCCCAAACCGGGAAATAAGTACAAGTCAGACCGGATTTCCCCTGAGCCATGCGATGCAATTCGAGCCCTTTTGTTCAAGTGGAAAAAGCATGCTGCGCCTCAATGCCCCATTCTACCCTGACGTCCCTTCGCAATCCAAAGCAAAATTAAAATATTTAGGCCTGTGATGGTGCAAGTTAGCAAAGGTTTCTCGAGAATCCTCCCATAGTCCCTCCTGTCCGTACAGGAGCCATGTTCATGTTCATGTGCTCCGGACAACTCTCAAGACGGTCGTACCTTGATGGCGAACTTGCGCTGGGGGAAGTGAGTGTTGCGCTTCTTGGTCTTCTCCAGAACACGGGCCTTGTCCTCAGGTGATAATCGGCGGCGGATGGCACGGGTCTGCTTGGGGCGGAGGTCGAGAGGCAGGTACTTGGCCTTCTTGTAGAAGAGGCGGAGCTGGTTGCGCTGAGTGGCGTTGGTGACGGTCAAGACACGAGCGATGGACTTTCGCAGGTCGTGGCTGTAATTGGAGGCGTTAGTCGCAACAATTCATTCGTGGCTCGCGGTTGTGTGTAATCGAATGGAAAGGGTCCGTCAATCCTTACATCTTGTTCAGCTTGGAGCCGGAGGAGGCAACCTTCTGGATGCGGAGCTGGCCGAGTTCAGCCTTGAGCTCAGAGAGCTGCTTGGCCAACTCCTCCTTGTTCTTGCCCCAGAGCTGGGCAGTCTTGACTTTTCCCGACGACTAACACACAAAAGAATCAGCAACCCTGTTTCCCTGACGCATTATATAAAATTGCAAGAGCGAAGCGTTGACGGCGAGATGACGAGCGATTGGGGATATTTCGACGACTTCGTTGGGTGTAATATCTCGGGACGACATCGCAGTAAAATTCGACATCGGGGGGGTTAAGAGGCTGGCATAAAGGGAGACGTGGTCTTGGGGCCTAAAGAGGACATGTCCATCGCTTGGAGCAGCGACCGTATCTACTCACCATCTTGAGAGTCTGATGTGATTTGCGAGAGTTGCGTTAGTAAAAGTCTTCCTCGACCGTGACCCGTCCGTTTGTCGCGATGGCTCGTAACTCTCAAAAGAATTTAGTCGAGGGTTTGCCGAGTCGGTGAAAAATTGCCCTAGGGTTTGGCTGAGAATGCACCAGATTGAAAGACACTGTAATTTTTCATTGGTCAAAGAATTGTGGGGCACTAGTGGGTAGCGAAAGCTCATCACGTGCATGGTCCCGTGTCAAGTGTCTTCGCACTAGCGCGGGCGGTGGGAAATTCTGCCTCCTCCTTCAAGACGGAGACGGCGCCAGACAATGCCGTGGCTCGGGCGTTGTCCCATATCGTCATCAGAAGCACCCTGAACTCGAACTTGTCGCCCAGATTGGAAGCCATGGCCACACCAGGAAGCGGAGGCTGGGCTCAGCTACGCCAGCAAGCACGATCATTGGAGAATCAGGTGAGAGGATTAGTTTCATGTATTGTATTTTGACTTGCGAGCTGGCCTACTGACGATGCCGCGGCTTGCTAGACGGAGAGTCTGTTTCATACCTATTCCCAATTCTCGACTGGATCCAATATCCCACCTAAGCCATCAGCGGAGGAGCGTGACGTAGAAGCAAGATTGGAGGATGTACTAGACAAGGTACGTTCACCGACTCGGGTAATGGCAGAGTAGTGCGAGCTCTGGCAGCTAAACAAGCAACTGCAGCGCGACAATGTCATCGCCCAACTCGCCCGACTCCTGGATTCGGAAGCATCCCTCAACACATCCGCGCTCAAGCAAAACAACCTATCCCTGCTCCGGGAGAAGCTTTCCTCTCACCGCCGCGACCTGGCCCGTCTCAAGTCCACACTGCAGCAAGCTCGCAATCGCGCCAACCTCCTAAGTAACGTGCAGTCCGATATTGACGAGTACCGCGCGAACAACCCGGAAGCTGCCGAGGCCGATTACATGCTGGACGAGCGCAATCGCATCGACAGGAGTAACGATGCGACAGATAGCGTCCTCAGCCAGGCATATGCCATCAACGAAAGCTTTCTAATTCAGAGGGAGACCTTGGCGAGCATCAACCGGAGAATAACCATGGCTGCGAGCAAAGTGCCAGGCATCAACTCAATAATTGGACGTATAAGTACCAGGAAGAGGAGAGATGGAATCATCATGGGAACTTTTATCGCGATGTGCTTCATTGTCTTCTTTTGGTTCAGGTAAAGGGACCATGATACATTCACCGGTGCTGCACATGTCGTTTGGCGTTAAGGGGGGGTATATCAGCGGTTCTTGTCTACTTGTACAATATGGCAGGATCCATAAAACATATCTAATCTCTTTGTGGTTTTTAATAATACAGGCGCAGGATTTTAAGAGAGATGTCAAACCTCTAGTCCGAACCCTTTGCTTTTTCCAGGTGAGGCTTGCCAGGCAGCTTCTCTCGCGCGGTTGCGGGCAGTAGAGCCTCCTTCTTAATATCATCAACAAGCTTTCCCAGCCCCTTGGCCAGACTCTCCAACTCATCCGGGTGACCTGACCCGCTTCCAGCCCATCGTATCCTGCAGTGGTGATCAACCAGATACGTGTAGCCGACCTTGCTGTTGAGCAGGCCTATTGATTCTCGGATCTCATCGGTAATGCCCCTCTGCACGAGAAAGTACTTGTCCCAATTCTTCTCTCCAAGCCTCTTGCGCAGCGACCCCATGAAAAGCTTCACCAGGAAAGCCTTGCCATTGTTATCCTCGTAATTGACTCTGACGAGCTGTGCTGCATCGCCACTGGACTCGAGCACCTGGTGGAGTAGCGGGTTGGCTTCCTTGGATATAAAGCTTTCGACCTGTCGCTCAGCCCACTGGCTGCTGAAGATGGACACGACAGATGCTCTACCGGAGAGGAGCGGGGTGGTATCGCGAGGAGACTTATCGTTCTTGACGAGTGTTTGGCCGTAGAGGTTAGGGAAGAAGAGGGAGAGCTCGGCCTTAAAGAGGCGGGGCGGCGCAATGAAGGATTTGCCCTCGTGGTATTGCAGGTTACCCCAATCGCGGAAGTACGGTCTTGATATCTTGGCAGTCCTGAATCGATCACATCGTTGTTAGCGAACCTTTGAGAACTGCACAACTTTGGTCAGTGCTGGGGCTCTCATACAGCTCCTTGCGCCTCTGCAGATGCTTATCATAGTTGACAAAGTCCTCCTTGCGCTGCTGCATCGAGCGGCTGTCAATGCCCGTGTTCTCGCCCGGCAGAGGAGGCAGCGCCATTCCAATCGGCCGGGGCAGCGGCTTTGGCGTGAAGGCGCCCTCGACTCGTTTCCCGTAGCTTCGCGGCGCCTCAATCGGCGTTCCGGCGACGGTCGCCTTGGGGTCCATCGAGGCGCCCGCGGCCGGCTTCTCTGTCCTTGCGGCCAGCGCTGCGGAGGCGGTAAATGCGCGCCATTGGCAGCGACTGCACGAGGCGGCAGCAGATCTTGTACTTGAAAGGAGGAGGCCGCCGAGGGCCAGCTCCAGCGTCCGTGGCGATGGCATGGCCGCCTAGAAAGAGAGTGACAGTCCCTTGTCGCGAATAACGCCCGAAAAATTTTGGCCTCGCAGCTGTAGAGCTCCATCCACTTTACGGCCCCGGAGGCACTGCATGTGGCTTTACGGCTCCCGGGGGTCCCAATCGGCAGCGCTAGAAGTTACAGTGGCTCCAAGCACTGCTAGGCGCAAAAGCAGCTTAGCGCCCACGCTTTTTCGCTTGAGCAAAACTCCCCCAGCTGCTGCTAATCCAGAGACCCGGAGCCATCAAACAGTCAGCACCCCAGATTCGGCTATCCGCGGGGGCTTTCAACAGCGTCAACCGCAATGCCGACTGAAGCCACGGCTGGCCTGGAGTATCCCGGTTTAGAGTCGGCGAAAGCAAGCGATTCTCCCCTTGTTTAAAACTCAACATCCTCTCCTCTCGGCCCTGCAACCACCGTGCCGCTCAATTGGACCATCCAGACATCATGTTTCTGCAGCGAGGATCAAGAGTGCTGAGACGGCAATGGGGGGCTTCCAAGGCCATGGGCAAGATGGCCCTGGGAAACACAACGCCTGCGGCCCCGCGGTGGTTCTCGGAGTCGAGGAGGTTATATGCCGTCAAGCCGGTGTTGCTGGCTGACATTGGCGAAGGTGAGTCCTGCATCCCGATTATGGCTGGGCAAGGGCGGCGATGCTGACGTTTGACGGGCAAAGGCATTGTCGAGTGTGAGGTCATCCAGTGGTTCGTCGAGCCCGGCGCGCACGTCGAGGAATTCTCCCCTCTGTGCGAGGTCCAGAGCGACAAGGCGTCTGTAGAAATCACAAGCCGCTTCGCCGGCGTCGTCAAGAAGCTATACTACGAGACGGGCGAGATGGCCAAGGTGGGCAAGCCGTTTGTCGACATTGACATCCAAGGCGGGGCCGAAGCCGACGACGCCGGCGCGCCCAAGGCGGCCGAACCAAGCAAGGACGGAGCCTCATCTTCAACACCAGCACCCGAGCCAAAGCCGCATCAGACCGAAGCCAGCGCGCCGGCACAGGTACAGAGCAGTGAGGCCCCCAAGCCCAAGGGCAAGGCCGCGGCACTGGCGACACCAGCGGTGCGACATCTGTCCAAGGAGCTGAAGATTGACATCCTCGACATCGACGGCACGGGCAAGGATGGCAGGGTCCTGAAAGAGGACATTTACAAGTTTGTGCAGCAGAGGGATGCCAGTGCCAGCGCATCGGCGGCTTCACAGTCCGCATCTACACTACCGGGACAGCAGCTACCACAGGCTCCCAGCGGCGTGCAGACAGAGACCAGAGTCCAGCTCACCAACACGCAGCAGCAAATGTTCAAGACCATGACGCGGTCACTCAACATCCCCCATTTCCTCTACTCGGACGAGGTCGACTTCACAGACCTCGTCCACCTCCGCTCTCGCCTCAACAAGGTCCTCTCCCAGACGCCGGCCGCCCCTGGCCAGGTCACCAAGCTCTCCTACCTCCCTTTCATCATCAAGGCCGTCTCCATGGCGCTGTACCAGTTCCCCATCCTCAACTCACGGGTCGACATTGATCCCGCCACCAACAAGCCCTCCCTCATCATGCGCTCACAGCACAATATCGGCGTAGCCATGGACACCCCCTCGGGCCTGCTCGTGCCCGTCATCAAGGACGTCGGCTCCCTCAACATCCTGTCCATCGCCGCCGAGCTCACGCGCCTGCAGGGCCTCGCCGTCCAGGGCAAGCTCACGCCCGCCGACTTCTCAGGCGGCACCATCACCGTCTCCAACATTGGCAACATTGGCGGCACGTACCTCAGCCCCGTCATCGTCGAGCGCGAGGTGGCCATCTTGGGCATCGGCCGCATGCGCACCGTCCCGGCCTTTGACGAAAACGACAACGTAGTCAAGAAGCACGTGTGCAACTTCTCATGGAGCGCCGATCACCGTGTCGTCGACGGAGCGACCATGGCTCGGGCCGCTGAAGTGATTCGCCGCGTGGCGGAGGAGCCGGACGTCATGGTCATGCATCTAAGGTAACAAGATTATTTAGAGGAAACATGAATAGAGAGAAACGTGTGTAAAGACCTTAGATTATGGTGATGTGTCATGCTAAGACTGGTTCGCTATTTTTCAAAAATCTTGTTCGATATAAGTTAGTATATAGTATAGTGTCTATTTTCCTTGTTTGGCATACAAAAAGAGAATGTCACTTACACCACCAGCCTACACCTGCGTGGGTTGCAGATCCCGCTTCCCATCTATGTACACCACCCCCCAAAAGAGCATTACAATGCAATACAAAGTAGTACCTACACGACTGCATCCCAAAGAAAATCAAGCCACAAAAAAAAAGCTGCTGCACTTTGAAAAGCCCGGTCCTCGCGTTCGCAGCAAGCCCCAGGAGATGCAACATGACGCCATATGGGCTGCCCGCTTCCCGCTTCCGAACATCTGCATTCCTCCCCCCCCCCGGACACGCATCCCGGCCTGAAACCCTCATCATATGCACAAGATCAAATCAAGAGGGAAAGAAAAAAAGACTCGAAACAAACAAGGAGGCTCTCAGCTGATGCGCCCCCCCGGACCCCGTGACCGGTTTCCCTGCAGGGCTCCGGCGCTGGCTCTCGTCACCCCAGCGGACGGATGACGGGGTGACGGTGACGGGAGCTGCATCCAATACACGAGTGAGAGTGACGGAGCTGCATCTAGACGGATGACGGTGATGGGAGCTGCGTCTAGACGAATGGGAGCTGCATCTAATACACGAGTGAGAGTGACGGGAGCTGCATCTAATAGACGGGGTGACGATGACGGGAGCTGCATCTATGGATTCCTTGCCCTGTATGTACTTCCCGCTTCTGGCTGGGAGCCCAACGCCCCCCCCCCCCCAAAACGACTCCAATGGCCTGGGGCCGCTTCACGCTGCATTAGTCTATTCGGAAGCGCCTCCTCCTCATGCAAGGCGTCCAAAACTTGTGCGGGAGACTTTTTCTCTTTCTCTTCTCTGGGCGTTCATACTCGTATTTCGTACCGAGAACTTGCTATCCCCCTACCCGTAGAGGAACATGAAGTTTGAAGTTGAAACCAAAAGCAGTAGTACGAATAACAAATGGGTAAATCACAAAGCCGCGTTCTCGCTTATCTGTAGCACAATTCCATGTTCTCATTCATTTGTTCGCCTATTATACCGCTCTGTCCACTAGGGAATGATGCTATCCAAGCCATCCCCTCCCCCTTCCCCCCTTTGCCCGCAAAAGGAAAATGAATAAGAAAAAAAAAACACGCACAGCTGTATAATAATCCTCCTTGTGCGACCCAGCCGCTGCTGATTGTCAGATAATTTCATGCCCAACTTCGTCCAACAGCCTTTCCCCGTTGCCGGCTGACCGAGCTGTTTAGTCTTGGCTCGGTTGAGTCCCAACTCCACATCCGATGAACCAGTAATCCCTGCGCCAACATGAAAATGCCCAAAGCCAAAAAAAAGAAAAAAAGAAAGAAAAAAAAGAAAGAAATTATGCAGAAAAAAAAATTGGTGCCATTGCTGGCCCGTCCTCCAGAGTCCGCAGCTGATGTACTAAAGCAAATCTAAACCGAGTGAAAAAAAAAACCAGAAAAGAAAAGAAAACAAGAAGTCATATTGCTCCGATGTCGCATATCCGCATAACCGCCAGAGGTCATGATTTTTTCAGGAACAAAGATAGGAAAACAAAATCCGATATAACGGGCAGAGAGGCCCGGATGCTGAGGTGTTGTTCGACGGCGGGCCTCTGGGTCCGTTAACAAGGCCCGTCATTGTAAAACGATGACACTCTATTGGCTGTTGTGGTCGCTTTCCATGGTCTTGATGGCCCTGGCCAGAGCATCCTCCTGCACCTCGGCCAGGGTTCGGCTTACATCGATGGTGATGACATCTGTTTCGTTTTGAGAAGGTCGCTCCAGGATATCAAACTGGCTGTGCACCATGTTGGCGCCCATGTAGTGGTTCTGGCGCTGGGTGACACGCTGCAGCAGCAGCTCCTCCGAGGCATCGAGGTAGATGAAGTGGATGAGCAGGCGGTGGTCGTAGTACGCAGCAACGCGGATGACGTCTCGGTATTTCCGCTTCAGGGCAGAGCAGGTCATGACGACGCCCATCTGGCCCTCGCTGATGAGGCGCATGGACTCATCGCGAAGGGCCGTCAGCCAGTCCCAGCGGTCCGCATCGGTCAGAGGAATCCCGTTCCTCATCTTGTCGACATTGGCCGGGGTGTGAAACTGCCAGCATGGTTAGCACCGCCTGTCAGCGTCGTCGTGCAGGAACAATTGTCAGCATCACGATGCCGGGAGGGCAAAATGCGTACCGAGTCGCCTTCAATGTAAGGCATGTTGAGGGCGTTTGCCATGTACTCGGCAACGCTGCTCTTGCCACATCCGGCAGGGCCAGTGACGAGCCAGATGTGCGTGTGTTCGCCGGCCTGTCCGGCAATGTCGACCGGAGTCTCCGTCTTGAGAGATGTGCTGGTGGCGGTGGTCTGGATAGATGGCAGGGCAGCTGCAGATGGTGATTTTTGTCCCTGGGGAACTGTATATGTGGTATCGATGGACATCATCGTGGCGAGTACAAGTTATGAATCTGCCTCTTAGAAAAGCTGAAGGATAAAAGAATAGAATGGCAATTCCGGTCTAAAAGGCAAAAAGGCTGTGTGCGTGAGCCGACTGAGATGAGTAGAGATGGCCGAGATGGTTTATAGATAGAGTTTGACCAAGGAGACAAACAACACGGCGAGTTGGATGTTGGATGTTTGCGGAAGCCCTAGTTGGTGCAGCCTAGAGTCTTGAACGGGCTAAAGGCAGATGACAGATGAATGATGTGGTGGGTGGAAGAGAGCGAGCACTTGTAAGTACAAAAGCAATAACCGAACGTACGAAACTTTTATGGATAAGAGAAATCTTGACGGAGAGAGCTTCGTCCAAGGCTGGCCCCGAGGAGGCGAGCAGCTAGCTATTAATACTACTAGGGGCTGCTCCGTAAAAGAAGCAGCCCAGTGCTTGGATGTACGTACTGCCGGATGGATCCAGGTCTGGTAATCTCATACAACAAGGCAGCCCCTTGGTCCTCAGACAACAAGTCAAGGCAATGGTGAGTCGGTATTATGGGGTACACCGGGACCGGCAGGACAAGTACAAGTCCGGGTACAGGCACAGGTACAGGTACAACGACACGAGGGAAAAGGGAGGGCAAGGAACATGGGAAATGGCCGGGAGGGGAGCCAGACCAGAGCCCAAACCGCAGCGCCGGTTTTCTGGTGGGCGTGAGGAAAAAAAAAAGTCTCTTCCCAACGGTGACACAATACTGGGGTCATTACGAGCGCCGGCCTCGAGACTCTGGGGAGGGGAGTGGGCTCCCCTAGATTCCTAAATTACCGGCTGGGCCAGTCGGGCTGGAACCAGGGCCCTTCTAGCTGTTTAGCCCAGAGTGCCGGCGACTCGGCTCGGCGCTCGAACACGTCGGGGGCTCCCCGTGCCATGCCAGTGTTCTCCCCCCTGCCCCCTTTGCTTTTTGCTTCCATTTGTTCTTCCTTTTTTCTAGACGCTACCATGGGTTCCCCTGCCGGCCAGTCATGCGAGCAGGTGAGATCAAGGGGGGCGTGTGCCGATGGTCGGGGGGGGAAGCAGAGCAAGCAGAGGCGCGGGATGACGTCGATGTAGTATTCTGGTAAGCAGTCTATTGAGGCGAGGTGACTAACACGAGTATTCGGAATTGTATGTCGTCGAGGGAGGGCAAGAAAAGACAAAGAAGCCGGCAAATGGGTAGGAAGGGAAGGGAACTGGTAGCGCATCCTCAATGCGGCATTGGAGGGCGAGACGTGCCCCTTTGGCGTCCCGCAAAAGAAAAGCTGGCTGAAAACTTGCTGCAAGGAGGCATCAAGCTCCACTAAGCTGGGCGCCAAAAAGATGGAGTGGGAAGAAAAAAAAGGAAGGGAAAAAAAATAAAAGAAAATTTTTTGGAGCGTCGGCTATTGCACTGACGTCTGTGGAACTTGTCATTTGCCGACGATTTTGGGTGGTACAAAGTACGGGCCCGCCTGCGTCAGATCACGCTTCTGCCTTGGGAGGCAGTCTGCATCCCAAAGTAGCATGTACTTGCCCGGGAGGGAGCCGGAGGGCATACCCGCGTGGCATGTACTACAATGATGCAACTCGAAGTCGTGCTCTCATTTCATCGTTTCATGTTTCCATATCTGCCTTGCTAGGTTCCTCAAAGAGATGCTCAGCTACTGCATATATCCAATTGTAAACCTCCAGCAACACATAAGGCAGTGGAGGGTTATATAGAGGTGCTATGATTCTCGGCAAATGACCTCACGCAGGCCATAAGAAGTTTAATCTCCCAGTGCCAGCTGAATATCTGGCCAGGTAAAGCACCATTGATCCATTTGAATGCATCTGGCTGTGGCACACGCTGGAGAGCCACCCGTCAAGTTTTAGTGACCACCAAGGCACTAGCTCGCCAGTCCAGTGAGCACTACAGTACCAACCGCAGTCCGGGGAAGCACCCATTGGATTTGGCTCCAGCCCAACGTGCAAAACGTTGAGGTGAGGTCGGAATGACAGTCCATTCTTTCAACTGGCACTAGCAGATAGCTCTACACCATTGTTTCAAGTTTGTCAATACTGGAATGATTTTCATCTTGCTACGCCTCCACGACATGAAGGCATTCACAAACGGTTCTGCCGGCCAAGACGGGAATATCTGCGAGTTGCATCTATCCGTACCTGGAGACAAAGTGCCTGCTACTATACCTGGTGCTCGTATACACGAGTACACCACGCATGTACGGAGTACCCGTACAAGCCTGTGTTGCTTTGTTTCGTACATGCTACATACACACACCTAGTCGGGCCAGGCTGTCGATCCATTTGGGCCGCGTGCCGACGGGGATGATGTCTTTTTGCTGCCAATCTCGTCTCTTAAAAAGAACCATGCTGCGTGATGCGCAACACCTGGCCTGGCTGCGGCTCGCATGCCGCACTCCCAGTCCCAGTCCCAGCCCGCGGCTCCAGTTGCCCATCGACACTATCCGTGTCACACCGACTCAGACCTGCTCCCTTGCAGGACGGTGCTGTGCGACTCAGCAGTTTCGCTTGAGCTTGAGCGACGCCGGTGATGCCACCCACACGACGATGGTCAGGCTATCGGATGCGGCAAGCTGCAGCACGGAATATACTGTACTCGTGGGCATGTACCTGTACTCCATGTACGAGTGCTACCAGGTAGAACGTTGCTGGAGATGATGCAAGCAAGGACAGGCACCGCTCCCATGCATGCACTTATTCTGGCCGGCTTTGCCCAAGGTTGCACTACTCTCGGTATCGACGGAGTCCCAGAGTATCGGGTCGAGCCGCCCTACTATAAGATTTACATGGACAGCTGTTTGCGCAGTATCGTACCGTAGGAGTACTCCGAAAAGCCACGGACGGGAATGGCCTTGCACTTTGGTGGACCGTCAAGCTCGCCAAGGCCGGGGACTCAAAATGCGTGTTCCTCCTAAAGCGTCGAGTAATGATCCCGGCCAACAATGCTACCTCGCAGGTAGGGATGGCTGTGACAATCACATCTGCGATAAGTGATAGGCAGCACACAAGGGGGAGGGAAAAAGAAAATAAGACAAAATAAGACGGGAATCACAATATTGGCCATGTGACTCGGACCAGCTTGCTTGGACCTCTGCAACTATAACCGGAGTGAGAAGTGGTGCGTCTGGGCCGCTCTCAGACTCGAAAAGCGTTGGGTCCGTCTATTGCCGCGGAAGCCAGACGGTGCTCCCGCCGAGGCCGCTGTTTCTGCTCTGATGAAGTGCTCGGGGAGACGTCAAGTTGCATCCGGGCAAGACAAGCGGCGGCCTAGCCTAGGTAGGTCTCAAGGTGTTTCGATCCATCTCAGCCCCATCATCGGGGAGTGGAGAGGGAATCGGCCGACTATTGCCCGTCTGTTTTTCGTCCCCCCAAGTAGTAGCCTTTCTCTTTTGGTGGAAAGACGTGGGGGTCACAAGCCTCCCAGCTGACTCGAAGAAACCCAGAGGGGATTGCATATCCCAATGCGATGAAGAAGTTGAAGCTGAAGGAAGATCAGATGGTTTCGGTTACCTAACTGAGTAACTCTAGGTGTAAGCGATCCTTTCAATAGCCGCAAGGGGGGGTGTCGGCATGGATCAATGGATACGAAAAGAACCCATGCAACGATGGATGTGCAGAACGGAGTATTAGACGCATGAGTATGCAATGCAAAGCAGCCGTACATCAGCCGTTGGGTAGCTGTGCTTCTATGGCGCATCAGAAAAATTTTCCTCGCTGCGTTGCGTCAGTGCGAGCATTGGATCATCTCTGAGCTCAGTCCAGCGTCGTTGATTTCCGAATATTTGATCAAATATTCTTCTGGAAAATTGGGCTCCACCAATCGAGTTACACTAGGCGCAGGTCTCAGGGGGGAGACGAGCTATAGTACCTCTCCTCGGACTGATTCTTGGACGGGGACATGCGCATTTGCCTAGCTTATACTGACAACGCGAATTGAAGCTGGTTGGAAAACTACCGGCATGCTCTTCCGCAGATTTTAAGGTAGCTGCGGACTAAAGCCCTCCTAGTGCCAACAATCTAGGCGTTTAGGCGGTTTGTTTCCCAACTTTCAGGAACAGCTGTGAAGCAATTGAAGCGCGGAATACAGTATATGATATTGCCATGTTACCAATTGCTTGGTGATGACGCCACTAGCAGTTTCACATACAGAAAAGAAGGAGATGAAGCCGTGTTGCCGTCGCAATTGACTGTTGTCAGCAGCTATTGGTGAGGTTTCAGATAGAGTTGACAAAAGTCAAATTGTATGCGTAAAGGGTTGGTTGATTGGTAGCTGCAAAGTATGGGGAAATGAAGGCCGTTTATCCACACGACCACACTTTGCACCTTTTGACCAGGCTTTTCTGCCTATTGGCTCCTCACATCACGCGGCTTACGTCGATATTTTGCCACTTTCCTGCTCTCCTTTTCTCCTTTTCTGGCCCCTGAATCGTGAGGAGCAATGGTTCAATGCATGTAACGTCTCTGGAAGGGTTCTTTTCTGGACCTGACGTTGGATAGGAAGAATGGTCGTGTGATGTATTGAAATCTTGGCACAGCGTCAATCAATTTACCTGATGCCTTGGTACTTGTGAATACCTGAGCTACCTGCTGGGTGCTAATCAATTCGAATTCACAGGTCCTCGGAAACATACAAAGACACTGCAATATGTAACGGCGTAATAATACTCCTAGGCGTAGCATCATTACCGTACACAATATCTAGCTGTTGAATCACACGCAAACACATCAATTGAACTCTGCCAAGCTCGAGAAACGTAAAAGTTTGCCCAATTGCCATGCCAACTGTCAAAAAGGTCCTCGATCCATCCTTTTCCTCTGCTGCACGTTACCCCTCAACCCCGCCATGCCACCTCGGGTCACTGGGCCGCTCATGTACCCCGCCTGTGGCGCAGGCACAATCCCTCCCTGAACCTATTGTGTAAACCAAAACCAAACCTTGAATCTCTGTATGTCAAAGTTAAGGCTGTTGCATTCCATTAGTATCGATCAATGTTCCTTGCAAGATTGGGGGACATTAGACTACACGTTTCTGGCCAAAGCTCATTGTATCCATCGCCGTTCACATATACATCGGGATATCGCGATACTAGACAGATGAATGTTCATCCTTTCGGAGAATGTCTCGGTTATTCGAGGTGCCACTGCAACGCTCTCTGAGCAAAAGTCCTTTGTAGGCAGACAGCCTTGTGTAAAAACTGCACGCCCAAGCCACAGTGTGCCCTGTGAGTGCACGTCTTGTCCACAGGATGATGTACCCGCCCTAGCTGCTTTAGGCATCTTGTGTGGCTTCACCCAAGAACTTTTGGCAGATTCTGCGTGCCGCCAGAAACCGCCAGCCGCTCAGAGGTTCCTTATAGAGACCTGGCTGCTTAAGCTCCAGCCACGCGGCGTGCTGGTCTGATGTCTTCCCTCTTACTGCCCCTCATCTCGCGCAGGTCGCCAGCAATAAGATTCCAAGCTGCTTCACTGAAGCACCGCTCAATCCTCAGACACAATCTCGCGCCTCGCCTTGCAACTGTCGCCCTCTCCAGGTTTGCCTCAACCACGCCCAACATGAAGCCCGAGGACCTCAAGCACTACCTGGCGGATCAGCCGCCCTCCGTAGTCCGCCTGGAGATTGAGAAGCACTTTGGTCTCTTGACTGACCAGCAGAAGCGATATGCTCACTTTATCAGCAAGTAAGTTGCGTCTCTACACCTTCGCCTTGCTTACCGTAGCAATGATCGTGCCGTGGATATGACTGAGTGCCTGTTATTTACACTTCTTTAGGGCTGCATTCGCCGGTTCCAGGATTGTCCTGCGCCAGCTCTCTCCAGAGTCAGAGCCTATCTTCGACTTGATCATTGCCCTTCACAAGTCGGCCAATGGCGACTGGAATGCACTGGCTCAAAAGGCTGATGTCGAAGAGTCCGAATTGACCCTTTTCCTCGAATATGTGGCCATGTTCCTTGGCAACATGGGCAACTATAAGAGCTTTGGCGATGCCAAATTCATCCCCAGATGCAGTGAAAAGACTGTTTCTGCTCTGGCTGCCACATCCCCTGAAGCACAAAAGTTCTACGATGCCACCAAAGGCGCCATCTTCAGCCATGAGGACCCTGGTTCTATGCATCTTGGATTCCTCGATGCTGGCCACATGACGACCTATTATCCCGACTCTAAGGGTATCACCAAGAGCGAGATTGAAGCTGTCTCGGCCTGGATGGAGGAGAAGAGACTGTTGCCCGAGAACACCAGACTGCGAAAGACCGCGGATGGCTTTGATATTCTCATTGCTTCAGCCGTTACTAGCGTCCCCGCTGACGGAGGCGACATTGGAAAGGAAACTCGATTCGCCGTTGAAAATGGACCCCTCAAGGGCAAGACCATCAGCCTTGTCTATGGCGATTATGCTGAGGAGATGAAGAACATTACTGCCAATATCAAGCAGGCTGCTGCCAACGCGGACAACGAAAATCAGAAGAACATGCACCTGGCATATGCCAAGTCATTCGAGACTGGATCGTTGGAGGCATTCAAGGACAGCCAGCGCTTCTGGATTAAGGATAAGGGTCCTAATGTCGAGTGCAACATCGGCTTTATTGAGACTTATCGTGACCCTGCTGGTGTTCGTGGTGAATGGGAGGGTTTCGCGTCCAGTCAGTATACCCACATACCAACTTTGTCCTTGTACATCGTTACTAATGCTAGTTTACAGTGGTTAACCGTATGTCACTTGTTACAAATGTCGAGTGATACTCGGGATTTTCAGCTAACATAACTAACAGAGGAGCGCACTCGCGCTTTCGGGGAGCTGGTTGAGGCTTCACCTTCTCTCATCCCTCTGCTACCCTGGGGCAAGGAATTTGAGAAGGACAAGTTCCTTTCTCCAGACTTTACTTCTCTGGAAGTGATGACATTTGCAAGTCAGTAATACCATAACTTCTCTGCAGCCACATTACCCTTTTATTGGAGCTAACAATCTTGCTAGACTCTGGCATTCCCGCCGGTATCAACATGTGAGCATCAACTCCTTTCTGTTTGTTTTCGAAATGTCTCTCTTAAGTACTAACATGGCCCAGTCCCAACTACGACGACATCCGACAGACTGAGGGTTTCAAGAACGTGTCCCTCGGGAATGTGCTGAGCGCCAAGGCTCCGAACGAAAAGATCCCCTTCATCCGCCCAGAAGATTTGGCCGTGTTCCAGGCAAACCGCGATGCTGCCTTTGAGGTTCAAGTCGGCCTTCACGAGCTGACTGGTAAGATCCCCTCCCCCCTTCATTTGCTCTTGCAGCCTTGTTAATCATCTATTCAGGCCACGGATGCGGCAAGCTCTTGCAAGAGACCTCTGATGGAGTATACAATTTTGACAAGGAGAATCTCCCTGTTAGCCCGGTCACCCAAAAGCCCATCTCCACCTGGTACAAGCCTGGTCAGACCTGGAGCTCGGTCTTTGGACCCATCGCCGCCTCATATGAGGAATGCCGCGCAGAATTGGTGGCTATGTACCTGAGCTGCGAATTCCCCGTCTTGAAGATCTTTGGATTTGGAGACGGATCAGAAGATATCAACGGCCCTGCTGGAGATGTCCTCTACGCGTCTTACCTCTCCATGGCTCGTGCTGGTCTTGCCTCTCTGGAGATGTGGGATCCCAAGAGCCAGAAATGGGGACAGGCACACAGTCAGGCTCGGTTCTCGATTCTCAAATCTTTCCTCGAAGCCGGTGACGATTTCTGCAAGTTGGATTATACCAAGGATGACCTTTCTGATTTGACCATCAAGCTGGACAGGTCCAAGATTCTCACAGCTGGTCGTGACGGTAAGTCAAAGTGATTCCCCACCAAACTGACCATGACTAAATAACCCGTTTAGCTGTTGCCAAATATCTTCAAAAGCTTCACGTTTATAAGTCAACTGCGGATGTAGAGACTGGTACCGACTTCTACACCCAAATGACCACCGTTGGCTTGGACTTCTGGGGCACCAAGGTCCGCCAGGTGGTCCTCGATAACAAGCAGCCACGCAAGGTCTTCATCCAAGCCAACACTACCCTGGATGAGGCCACTGGCACCGTGTCGATCAAGCACTACGATGCTACGCTCTTAGGAATGATTCAGAGCTGGGCCGACAGAGACTTGTAAGAAGGCGAAATGCATTGATATGACTATCGAAAATAGCGATATGTCTGCGAAATACATTGTAAAAAAACACAACAATATACAGACACCCTCTCAAAAGGTAGAGAGCTATGTTACCACTCAATTCACCTTGTTGATTAACCAACTATGGTGTTATTTCTCTTTACGCCTCAAAATATAGGGCTCACTTATACCAAGTCGTCACCAAAAATGCTTATTCCACATTTGCAATGTATGAAAATAGTATTAATAGGTACGTTGGCGTAGGTATATGTAGTTCTTCATAAGGTACCGTTAGACTCTCTTTCATCGTTCCCTGGGCAGAGTGGCTCTCCATTGAAATTGAGCCTTTCCTCGCCTTCATTTTTTTGCATTGGAACATGGATATGGCAAGTTTGAAAGGTTGTGTCGTTCACAGACGTATTTTGGTTTTTACCAGAAGCCTGGTGGAAGAAAATCATTTATGCTCGTTTTGTTTTTTTGACTGTAAAAACCTGATTACAGACGCCAAGATGTGACCGATGCCGTCGACTTCCAAATGCAATTGGCCAAACCAGCCCATTTCGGAGACCCTTTCCGTTCTACAACCCGCATCTTGACCAACACCCCAGTAAACTCCACCCCGCGCTTTCGTCCTGCCAGAGATTTTGTGTTTGAATCATATTTACCACGCCATCTCGTGGGGCTTGTCACCCTTCCGCAGGCTGAAGGTGCTGGCGAGGTAGCTGGCCAACAGATCCACCTTCTTGATGCTAGCAAGCAGGGCCTTGTCGACGGCCTTCTGGTCGGCAGCACGGCTGCTGTTGATCTCCTTCTTCTGTAATTCAAGCCTCTTGTTAGCAAATCCACGCTTCTCTTGCTTCCTCCTCATCTCCAGCTTTTTTTCTTCTTCTTCTTGAAATTTTCTTGCACATACCTGGGGCTTCTCTCCCTGCTTGAAGAAAGCCTCAGCGGAAGCCTTCTCCTTGGCCTTCTCGGCGGTGAAGTACTTGGGCTGAGAGATCTCCTCGATCTTGGCGGCGTCAAGGCCGGAGATGTCGACCTTGTAGGAGGTGGCGATGACGTATCGGGCGTTGACTCTTCGCAGGGGAACGCCGTTGATCTTGAAGGGACCAGTGACGAGGAGAACACCCTGGTCGAGAGTCTTGAGAAGGACGACACGCTTGCCGCGGAAGCGGCCAGCGAGGAGGATCAGGACGGTACCAGGCTGGAGGGTCTTTCGGGCGGACCAAGATCGGACGGCCTTGCGAACCTATTTGTTGCCAAAGCGTGTCAGCGCGACTTGAATTTCATTTTCCCATGGATGACGATCGGAGCGTCGCAAAAGTAAGGGGGTTTGAAAAAAGGGACCACCAGGTTGCCGGAGTCTGTTCGCAATTTGGGAGGGCGTCGTGTTTGTCGGTGTTAGGATATTGGATATACATGTTGTGGTCATTCCCAAAGGAAATTTGAAGAAAAGAAAATTGACCAAGCGCCGAATCTCCAAAGCGCTGCCAACCCGCATCCCGGCGTTCCCAAGCAACCCAAAAAATTGTTCCCTTTCATCCCAATCGCCGTGTCGTTCCCAAATTGCGAATGCAGACATCTGTACACAGGGGCTTTCTCTTTAATTGCGACGCATGACCAGACACACTCACCTTCTTCGGCTGGCTCTCGTCGTCGGCAGGGTACCACTTCTTCGCCTGGTCCGCGGAGGCGGGAACCTCCCGGGTCGACTTCCCGAACTGCTTGGTCGTGGGCTTGGCCGACATATTGACTCTCTCGGGGTGTCTGATATGTGGGTGTGGAGAGGATGAGGAAGACACGTTCGTGATGTTCACCCGAACGGAAATGTTGGATTTCTTTGTGAGCGCCGCTAGCGAGTTTGTGGGAAGCAAAATGTGAACCCTCAGGCACTAAACCGCTTACGGCGCCCATCCGTAGCAGCCATTCCCGCTTGCTGGTGGGACATGGGGCTCAACACACGTGATGATAAGATAGGCGCTAGTGGCTGGGCCGATGGCGGCCGAAGATGCTCGAACGTGCTGTCGAGATCGTGAAGCTACGATAAGAGCTTCGGCTTTTTAGGATAAGAGGGAGGCAATGCCACTGGCGATGCGCTCTTGCTTGCTTCTTCTTGCAAATATCTCTTTCGATTCTCTTTCGATTCTGGTTACATATTTTTATTTCATCACCAATTCTTCTTCATTTTAGCCGCCACAATGCAAGCCAGGCGACAGTTGTTGTCCTCGGCCCAGCGCATTGCTGGTGCCTCTAACAGGCTCACAAGACCAGCTATTGCACGATCAGCCATTAGGCCTCTGCTCTTAGGGACCTCATCATCACGACTTGCTCCGGCCTTATTAGTAAGAACATATGCCAATGGACGTCCACACCCACCAGGAGGAACCCATCGAATGAACATGGGAGGCGGCGAACCCGAGAAGCCTGCACTGGAACAATTTGGCATTGATTTGACAGCCAAAGCTCGGGATGGTAAGCTGGACCCTGTAATTGGGAGAGATGCCGAGATTCAGCGTACGATTCAAATCCTATCACGGCGGACCAAAAACAACCCGGTTCTCATCGGAAATGCCGGAACCGGCAAGACGGCCATCCTGGAGGGATTAGCATTGCGCATCGTGCGGGGTGATGTTCCGGAGAGCGTCAAAAACAAGAGAGTCATCTCGCTGGATCTAGGTTCGCTGATTGCCGGAGCCAAGTTCCGAGGCGACTTTGAAGAGCGCCTGAAGAAGGTGCTGGATGAAGTTCAGAAGGCGGAAGGCCAGGTGATTCTCTTCATTGACGAGTTACATACCCTCCTGGGACTGGGCAAAGCCGAAGGCTCCATTGATGCTTCAAATCTGCTCAAGCCGGCCTTGGCCCGTGGTGAATTGCAGTGCTGCGGCGCAACTACCCTCGCCGAATATCGTGTTATTGAAAAGGACGTGGCGCTCGCCAGACGCTTCCAGCCCATCATTGTTAGTGAGCCAACCGTAGAAGACACCATCAGCATCTTGCGAGGTATCAAGGACAAATACGAAGTCCACCATGGTGTCCGAATCACTGACGGTGCTTTGGTGGCTGCGGCTGCCTTGTCCAACCGATACATCACGGATCGATTCCTCCCGGATAAGGCCATCGATTTGATGGACGAGGCCGCAAGCCACCTGAAACTACAACACGAAAGCAAACCCGAGGACATCATGAGGCTGGACCATAAAATCATGACAATTCAGATCGAACTGGAGAGTTTGCGTAAAGAAACAGATGTCGCAAGCAAGGAGCGCAGAGAGAAATTGGAGCAAGATTTAAAGAAGTATTACGACGAAATTTCGGAGCTCAATGCGAGATGGGATAAAGAAAAGTCCGAAATCGAATCAGTCAAGAAAATCCAGGAGGACCTCGACAAGGCCAGATTCGAGCTCGAGCAGGCGCAGAGAGATGGAAACTTTGCTCGAGCCTCGGAGCTCCGATTCGGCGTCATACCCAACCTCGAGCAAAAGTTGCCGTCTGACAAGGAAAGCCAGCAAGAGACTGCCGACGGAACTCTCATCCACGACTCGGTGACAGCCGATGACATTGGCAATGTCGTGTCCCGCATCACCGGCATCCCCGTCTCGAAGCTCACTTCGGGACACATTGAGAAGCTGGTTCACATGGAGGATATTCTACGGGAATCCGTCAAGGGGCAAGAAGATGCCATCAAGGCCGTTTCCAACGCCGTGCGGCTGCAGCGCGCGGGCCTTAGCGGCGACAATCGCCCCCTGGCCTCATTCTTCTTCCTCGGACCGACTGGTGTTGGCAAGACTGAGCTTTGCAAGAAGCTCGCCAACTTCCTCTTCTCGACCGAGTCTGCCGTCGTCCGGTTTGACATGTCCGAGTTCCAGGAGAAGCACACCATCTCTCGACTCATCGGCGCCCCATCCGGCTACGTTGGATACGAAGACGCAGGGCAGCTTACCGAAGCTGTCCGTCGCAAACCTTATGCCGTTCTCTTATTTGACGAATTCGAAAAGGCACACCGCGACATCTCCGCCCTACTTCTCCAGGTCCTTGATGAAGGTTATCTCACCGATGCCCAAGGTCACAAGGTCGATTTCAAAAACACCATCATCGTCCTCACGTCCAACCTAGGAGCAGACATCCTCGTCGGCCAAAACCACCTCCACCCATACAAAGAGGATGCCAACGGCGACATTGACCCATCAGTCCGCCAGGCAGTCATGGACGTAGTCTCATCCGCCTACCCGCCAGAGTTCCTCAACCGCATCGACTCATTCATCATCTTCAAGCGGCTAGCCCTGAGCGCCATCCGCGAAATCGTCGACATCCGCCTCAGGGAGCTTCAGCAGCGTCTAGACGACCGGCGCATCACCCTCTCTATATCAGACGACATCAAGGACTGGCTAGCCGAGCGAGGCTACGACCCCAAGTTTGGAGCCCGTCCTTTGAACAGGCTGATTACAAACGAGATTAGCAACGGACTTGCTGATAAGATCATCAGAGGCCAACTCAAAATGGGAGAAACGGCCCAAGTCAGATTGAAAGATGACAAGGACGGATTGGAAATCGTGAATGTTTCCGAGACGACTTAAAGTGATGATTCGCGTATTTTTCTGCATTTACTGGTAATGTACTATAATTTATTGGCTGGCATTGGAGGAGTTGTCCATGAGAAAAAGAATGTACCATTTGTATACTAGGTCTACAGACTCCTCTCGGAAATTGTAAATTAGTTGATACCCCCCTTTGGATTTAAAACAAAAAATTGATTCCAAATTACTTTTAGGATGCAAACTCCACGTGAAACCCATCAAGATCTTAGCTGAGACCAGTCCTACCTTACCTACATAGGGGTAGTTATTGGTATTCCTATTCCTATATGCATTATTGGGTCTGCGCTCAACCAAGAGCGCCTAGGATTTGACATCCAGTCATTTCATCCAAGGCTCTGGCAGAGTGTGACCTCTTATTAAATCATCCCAAGCTCGAGCTGGCGACTCGAGCAAATCCTCTATAACGTAAAATCTCTATCTTCATAAACCAGTCCATTAACCCACGCCGTGTTTTATTTGGCAACGGGCCCATCAAAGCCACCGCACCACCTTCAGAGAGATGGCTTCTTTATTTTCAACCCATCATATATCATTTTCGTAGATTCCAGTACTGAGGATGGCAACGGGGACGGCTGTTTCCGTTTGGTGGGTATATTGCTGACGTTCAATTGTCGGCCTGGGTCTTCACACTCGACCCATACTTTTTTGTCTCGCTCCCTTGACTGACTGAAGCCTGACTGACTTGGCTATTGAGTCGGCCTCCTCCGGCTTGCATTTGTGGTTACTATGTAAATGGCGTCTTAACTGATCTAGACGATTAAAATCTTTATTGCACATGGGACAAGAGTGGCCACCCCTCTCGTTGTGAGTTCGGCGGTGCTTGGAAAGGTTCGAAGATTCTCCAAACGACTTTCCACATATATCACACGTCAAAGGCTTGACCCCAGTATGTGTGCGCTCGTGCATGGCTGATGGGAGAGTCAGAAGAGCTGCGCATAGCTGGACAAGAGTTGGATTGCTTACTAAGTGCGCTTTGTTGCTTGAAGGCATGCGAACACCCCGGGAACTTGCATTTCCAAGGCTTTTCGCCCGTGTGCACTCTCATGTGTTGGTCAAGCGACTGCTTCGCTGAGAGCTGCAGGCCACATATAGAGCATTTCACGGGTTTATCTGAAAGCCGGCGTCAGTATACAGTGTTCCCCCATTGCCGCAGTTGCCAAGGCGATTTCACTTACATCCTGTGTGAGTTTGGATGTGGCGTTCTAATTTGCTCTTTTGGCCAAACACAGTCGTCCTTGTACAACCTTCCCAATGACAGCGAAATCCGGGGGGCTGCCGTGACATTCCCTTCAGATGATCATTCTTTGTGTGATTATGCAGTTCGTCGGCATCTTTGAATTGCATCAGGCAGACTTTGCCGTCCGGCGATCTCCATTGACAAGTATAGTCCACGACGGTCTCTACCTCCACCGATGAAACCGGGGTGAGCTGAGTTGATATTGACTCCGCGGATGACTCAATCGATGACTCGTCGGCCTGTGTAGGAGGAGTCGTTGTCTGCGGTGTAGGAAAGGGCGAAAGCGACGAAACCACGGATGGGTTCTGTAGAGGCGAGTCTAATGGAGAAAAGTGTGTGTCATGCGAGGAAGTTGCGTTTAAAGAGTAAGATGGTGGGATGCTCGTACGGACAGGAAATAAAGAGAAATGGTCTTCAGCTTGCGAAGATTGCGACAGGCTGCCAAGTTCGGGGATTGGCATGTTCATGGGCCAATGATCTTCGAATATGTGGCTAGCAAATTGGTCAAGTGTGTTGACCTCAAAGCCACACGTGAAATCTCCCAGATTGCTTCCTAGCCCATGGCTCAAGGCATCTCCGCTGACAGTTTTGGGCAGAGTGCATTTCGGAATGGTTAGATTGGGGCCATCAGCAATACATGGGCGAACATGGTCCACGCTATGTCGAGGATCATGGTATTGAAGAATGTGAGTTGCGAGCGGGTTTTCTTGAGCCAGGTATTCCCAAAAATTGCTGAACGTGCCATTATCGGCAGTCGTTGACAAGAACCCTTGCGGAAAGGAGTGGTTGCATGTCGACCCATGAAAACAAGAGTGGGGTCCAAAGTGTGCATCTGAATGAAACTGCTGAAAGGTGTTGGGTATAAATTCCAAAGAGGTATCTCCGATGGACGCAAGGGCTGCTGCAGCTTGCTTGTCGCCGTCTGAGAAGCCAGGCCCGAGGGGAAGCTGCTCAAGTCTGGCGAGGCCCGAGCAATTGGCATCCGTGCAGGGGGTAGCGGCATCCTCGCACATTTCGTCGAGGCACAACTCTTTATCGTCGCATGTATCATCATCGCAACACATTCCTTGGCCGGTATCACCACATTGGCTTGGGCAACTTATACCGCAGGCGGATGTGCATGACACCATTGATCTACAGTCATCGTCACAATTTGTCTCGGTCTGGCGAAGGACATCTTTGCCGAGGCGAAGAGAGCGAGAAGCATCAGGGAATGTGTCGTTCAAATAGGCGTCCCAGGAGAAAGGGAAGGTCGGCTCGGTATCTGAGGGAGGGATTACTGCGCCAGAACTGCCGAGCCGGTCTCGCAACTGCGACTGAATGTCGTGATCCATAAAGGAAGTCATGGTGGGATGACTTGATGACGATAAATCTAAAGAGTTTTGGAATGATTTCGAGGGTTTGAAAGGATCGGTAGAGTAAACCGACGATTGAGCGTCTAGACGAGAATCGTCGTGAGAGAAATGATCGGCGGTGGTTCCGGTGCCGTGAGAGATCCGATTGCTCGTATCCATTAGTTCAGAGAATCCGGAGGATGAGTCTATCGTAAAGTCATGAGAAGGTGGGTGAAGGAATTCCATTGATGTGACTGAAGAAAGACGACGGGTGTCAATGCTCTATTAAAACGCGGGTTCTATGAGCTGCCTAGACACAGCATCAGCGACTCCGAGGTGGTTCAAGATTGGCGAGAGAATACACGAATCTCTTACCCGTGAGAAGACTCGGTTTGTGAGTGGTTCATCCTAGAGAGAAGAATCTGAGGGATTAGGCGAGCCAATAACGAGCCAAAGGTGACAGGGAAGAACTGGCACAAAGTTGCTGTCAAAGCCCTGAATCGCAGCGCCGAAGCCTTTCGCAAACGGCGAGAGTGGAGAGTTGCGGGAAGGCTGAAAGAGAGGGAGAAAAAGGAATTTCCTCTTGGCCAGCCTCGGGTCTGTCTGTACAAGAAAGAAAGAAAATAGAAGGGATCGAGAAGCACGAGCAAGAGCACGAGCACGAGCACAAGCGCAGCAGGCGCAGGCGCAGGCGCGGACGTGGGAAGGAACGCCCGCCGGGCTGGCTGACAAAGGCGAGAACCTTGATGGGTTGTGGCCCTCAGCGGTTGCAACTTCCACCCGCCATATTTATGTTTTTTTGCGCCCGCCCCACTGAAATCCTGGGCGGGGCGATGGACAGTAGCGGCTAAACTCCACAGCTTGCAGATGACAAGCGCAGTACGGCGAGGTACTTGGGCGGAAGGCGGCCACGGCACCGACAGGCACGCGTTTGATGCGCTGATGATGTGCTGATGAGGTACTGCTGCTGTATTTGAGCACAACGGTTCGGCTTGTTGCCTCGCTTATTGCGGATCGGTGGGTTCACAAGCGGACGCACGACCTTGACAAGCAAACTCCCACGGTAAATGACATAAGCGGCTCCTTTGCTTGTGGAAGGGGATCCAACGCTTTGATGCTGCACGAGATATGGGATGATTCCGACTGTGTTTGATACTAGTGCTGTTAAGCCACTCTTATATCTCTAGCGTTTTGGCGATGCGGTTGTCGTTGGTATTATTGATACAGCTCCTTTGATAGACCATGTCTGAATACCCTGCTTAGACTAGGTTTATCGATGTGAGGACAACCATTTTACAAGCTCATCTATCAAGCACAGCAATGATATTATTGCACCACCTTGTACTTTGAACATCAGACCCCATTGATGGTACTCAGTAAGAGACATGACGGTCCAAAACCCTCAACCCACCTTTCACTCCCCAAATCACCATCCCATCTCGGCTCCTCCAGGGTATTAAATCCACTTCTCAAACCATAGATAAGCAGCCAAGATGTTAAAATTCACAGAACTCAAAGCTTGGCCCACGCTATGAAGAAAAAACCCCGCTTAGCATCCCCCCCGGCCTGACAAACGGCCTTTCTCAAAAAGCACACCGCGCAAACCAGTAATCTTTTCTCTCTCCCCATCCTCTTCCTTTCCGGCGCTGCATCATGCAGGCTTGCGCGCATCGCTAGCTGCCAGGCAAACAACTCGATCCCTGTTATCGCACTTGCTGGTTTCGCATGCGACATTGAACGGGTTATAATTATGAGCAATAGATTTGCTTGAAGCTCTCCTCGTTGCTGTTTGCGACAACACTTCGCTCTTAACCGCAGTCGATCGGCTTTCCACTCTCCCACTTCCGCGTTCGCTCTCCAACCAACCTCAACCCCCAAGCAACTCATCTCCAACAATCCCGACGCAACTCACAAAATCATGGGCAACATCTGCGGCAAGACCGAGCCAGAGCCGGACGCTCAAGCCGGACGTCGCCTCGGCTCAGCTCCACCTCCGGGCCCGAAAACCGCACGCGTCCCCCAGAAAGTCGGCGGTCCTCCGCGAACCCTCGGCGGCGCAGGTGATGAGTCTGGCGGCGGCGACCCGGCTGATGCGCGGAGAAGAGCTGCCGAGGCCGCCGAGGTAAGATCATCTCCCCCTCCCCCCTTTTCCCCCCTTACATCTATCTATATATGTCGTGCTATGCGCCGGCCGTGCTTGATTTCCGATGTATTCTAACAACCTTCTCTTTCAATTCTTCGTAGGCACGCGCAAAAGCTTCCTCCAAAGGCGGGAAGCTCCAGTCCCAGCTCAATGCGCAAAAGAAGAAGAACCTGTCGAGCACCCTCGCCGAAGCAAGCAACCAGGAACTGCGCGCCAGAGAAGCAGACGAGGCCGCCCAGGCGCGAAACTGGGATTAATACCGATCGCGAGCACGGATCTTACCCATCTACCCAACATAGTTACCTATAAAGAGGCTGGCAATGCTATATTGCGAGTAGCAGGACTGCAGAATGCAAGTAGTCCTTTATTCGGAGTTCTTTTCTATTCTTTTCTTTTTAGCCGGGGGGGCGGGGTTCAGTTCTTCTTCTCCAGATACCCTTCGTTTGCTCTGGAGCATACAGGTTGGGTTAGATACATGTCTCAATGCACTTCCAGACAAGCATGCGACATTCCTGTTGATACAACACATTCATGTATATATACACTAAAGTGCTACTGAATTTGATTACCAAACTTGATAAACAATTGCCTACACTAGCCTAGACGCCCTTCTCATCTTCTTGTGGTGTTTGAATAGTAGAAAGCCTTCCCTCTTTGCGCCTTTTCATCGCCCGACAGACAAAATCTTCACGCTTCATTGTTGGTTGAGCGTGATAAAACAAGCAAACTTTACCAACTTAGCAAGTGTATTCCTCCATGTACCATACCCTTCGCTCTCTCCCCCCTCCACCGTGTATACAACAATCATTCCCAGCCTCGACTTAAGTAACAGTATATCTTCCACTCGCGGGAGCCCTGCTGTCTGCATCCGCCGCGGCAATGGTGCCCTCCCTCAGAAGCCTTGTCATTTCGTTCAAAGCAGCGGATACCACAAGCTCTGTATCACCTTCAATAAGGATATACAGCTTGGGTTCTGCTCCAGCAGGTACTTCTTTTCCGGGAGGATAGAAGCTACCTTTGGTAGTGATGGATGTTCCGGTCGCCTCGAGAATCTTGGCCACATTGGTGCGGTTGGTGACGGCCCATCTAGCTTTCTGGGGGAAGTCGTTGATTTCCAGCGTGGCATGGAAAGCACCGGCATCGGGACCTTTGTTGTCGATGGGTTGGCCAGAGCGAAGCTGGCCAGCCTTGCCGAGGCGGCTGTTGATGGCACTGACAGCAGAGCTGACTTTGTCCAAAGGATCCTTGCCCTTCTCGCCTGTGGCAACGACGGGCTGCGCTCCCTTGCCACTGTCTCCCGCCTCAGCCCGTGCTGTTTCACGAGCCTGGACAGTAGAGGTTGCCGCTTTGATAGCGCTAAGTGTCTTCTCAATCTTCTTATCTTCTTCTTCCTTCTTGCCTTCTTCCTTAACCTCTTCTTCCTCACCCTCAGCTCTATGCGTCTTGCGCTCGCGAAGACGAGCGGCCTCACGTTCTTGATCTAGACGATCCAGACCCTTTCCGCCAAATCCAGACGAGTCCTTCGCCTTGCCTGACTTGACCTTTTCTCGATGAGATTTCCGCATCTCATTGAGGCGTTCTGGGACGGGCTGGTCACTCTGTTCCAAGGCTTTGGCGATACCAGGAGCGCAATTCTCTTGTTCAGGCGTGACAAAGGTAACGGCGGTTCCTGTGTTCCCTGCACGCCCTGTTCGACCAGCACGGTGAACATAGTCCTCCAGGTGGTTGGGTGCGTCGTAGTTGATGACAAGCTTGAGCTGCTTGACATCCAAGCCACGCGCAGCAACCGATGTAGCAATCAGGATGGGCACCACGCCCTTCTTGAAATCAGAAATGGTAGAGTCGCGATCCACTTGATCTTTACCTCCATGGATGGACATGCAAGGATAGCCCTTGTGCATTAGCTCTTTGAGAAGATCATCTGCCTTCTCTTGCCGCTCAACAAAGATCAACGACCTGGCATCTTCGTCCTTGTCGTAGAGCTCACCTAGCAACTCTAGAACACGGAGAAACTTTGTGCTCTCCTCTCTAATTTCCACGATTTGCTCAATCTCCTTGGCAACAACGCTGCGACCGCCGACGGTAATCTCAATAGGGCTCTTGAGCACTTTTTTCGTGAGTGAATCGATGAGGCGAGGCATAGTAGCCGAGAAGAGGATTGTTTGTCTGTCAGGTCGCATGTTGGCAAAAATCTTCATCACCTGTGGCTCGAAGCCCATGTCGAACATTCGGTCGGCTTCGTCGAGGACCACATAGGTGACCCTCCGGAGATTGGTGACACGCCCCTGGTTGGCAGCCAGTAGATCAATCATGCGGCCAGGTGTGCAGACAATAATTTCGGCACCGCGCTTGAGTTCGGCAATCTGATCTCTAATGGGAGCCCCGCCATACGCGCAGACAGCACGTAGGTTCATCATCTTCAGGAAAGGCTTGCAATCCCTGTGAATCTGGGTGGCTAGCTCACGAGTTGGCGTCATAATTAGCCCAACAGGGCCATCTGTGTCCTTGAGCGGCTCCTGGTCCTTGATATGCCGGAACATGGGAAGCAAGAAAGCCATGGTCTTGCCGGATCCTGTCTTGGCCACGCCCACGACATCCCGACCTGACATCAGCGCGGGCAAGGCCTGCATCTGAATCGGCGTAGGCTTTTCAAAGCCGAGGGAACCAACGACATCGAGGGTTTGGCGGGTGAGGCCACACTGAGCCCATTTCTGAACAGGTTTGGGTACATCCTTGCCGTTGACCTTGATTCCATCTAGCTCCAGTCGTAAATCTGTGACATCTGCTTCAGAAAGCGAGCTCAACTCTGCGGGCTCGACCCAGAAATTCTTGCGGATAGGTTGCAGATCTATCTTGGAGTAATCAACGCTTGGGATATCCTTCTTCTTGCGCTTATTGGCGATGGCAAGCAGCGCGGCGTCTGCCTCTTGATTGCCTTCGTTGTCAAAGGCATAATCATCATCAGAGAAATAAGCCTCAGGTTCTTGCTGCTTCTTGACAGCGGAGGCCTTCTTCAAAGGGTTCTTGACAGTCTCCGTCTGTTGAAGGTCATCCATGAATGCATCTAGAGGATCGACTTCGTCATCCTCTGCATCAACATCCATGTGTTCCGCGGGGGGAGCCTTGTCGGCCATTTCTTCTCCGCTGGTAACATGATCGCCGTTGGGCTCCTGCGCCGCTTGGGGCTCGTCGTCTTTCATCTCCTCATCAGCCTGGTTTTCGACCTGGGTTTCGGCTTCGTTTTCGTCTTGGTTTTCAGTTTGGTTTTCAGCTTGAAGACGTCTTTCATGAGCGGCACGTGCAGCGGCGGCGGCCTCTTCCTCATTTTCGGCAAAGTTATCACCATCCGATTCGTCATCCTCATCTTGGTCAGCATAAGGGGTGTCGTCGGCCTCTATTGGAAGGCTGGGGAGTTTGGTAAGCTGTCGTTTCGTTATGACCTCCTCATCCATGTCAAGCTTTCGCTTGTTGGGAAGCTTGTCCCCTTCAGCATGAGATTTGCCAAATCCAAAAATGCTGGCCTTGGCACGATTTGTAGGCAAAGCAGACGCTTTATGATGATTGATGTCAGCAAGGGCAAAGCTTTTCTGTCTCATGAGAGGCAGAGACTCACCAGCAATTGTCTTTTTCACAGGCATAGCAATGGTAGGCGGTTGAACATCTATAGACCCCAGAGCCCCTTTAGTAGTATCGTGTGATCTTTGGACAGCAGACTTCTTTGCAATCGTTTTTGGATCAAACTTGCCAGTATAAGGCTTTGCTGGAGATACGCTTCCCGACTCAACAGGAGCAGGCGAGGCAGCGGACGACACAACAGGCGATGAGACAGCCGTGGATCCCTCCTTGGCCTTCTTATCCATCTCAGCCAACAGATTTCTAGTTTGGCTGGCATTCACCTCTTTTTGTTTCTGGCCCTCGAGCTCCTTCTTCTTCTTCCATGCTTCAAGCTTGGCAAGTCGCTCTGCTTTCTTATCAACCTCGGACTGCGTGGCGTTCGGCTTGGCCTTTTGGGCCTGTGATATGTTATGAGCTCTAGTTCTCTCATCCGGGATCAGAACACATACCTCGTCAGCTCCGTTCCTGCCACCATCAGCCACCGGGGTCTTGCGAGATCGGCTGTCAGCGCGGCTGCTGCGAGTATGAGAGTCAGCCGTGCCTTCACGTCGGCTTCTGTTCCTAGAATCGTCTCGTCTCCTGAAGTCGTCTCTGCTACGATCACGTCGGCGGTCAGGCGAGCGAGCTCTGGGCGCGAGTCTCTCTCTCGACCTCGCTCCTCGGCGATCACGTGGGCCGCGGTAGAAGTCGTCGTCTCGGCGATCTAAGGAGCGGTCTCGTCGGCGAAAGTTGTCGCGATCGCGGTCACGGTCGCGGTCACGGCCACCACGATCCCTGTTGTCTCTGCCTCGGTCACGGTCGCGGTATCGATACTGTTGTTTGTTCAAAATTCTGTCAGACTCAAGTTCCGGTATATAGGAGTCGCCGCCAAAGCTGGAGCTGGAGCGGCGGCGGTCAAATCTCACATCCGGGCTGCGCGACCTTGAGCGGCGGCGAGTATCCCTTCCATCGTCTCGGCGGTCTCTGGCATCCCGCCGGTCGTCATCTTTGCGGTGGCGGCGCGAGTTGAAATGGCTGCCTGCAGGACTTGGTGAGCGCGAGTCTCTTGGCCGAGCCATTGTTGTGGTCTCGCAGGCTCAGTAAGACACTACGGTTTGTGAGTACTACTTTCTGGGTGGTCTCGAGTCGATGCAAGACTTTTTCTCTCTCTTCGTGGCGATGATTTGGAGAAACGCGAATCGAAATCGAGGCTGGGTCCAAACGATGGAGTAATATGTTTTAATCGGTCGCACGCCACCCCCGAAGCTGGTCAATTCCCCTGTTCCAAGCCTGTCGCACAAAATCAGGGGCACAATCAAGATGACTAAGGATCAAAAGTGTTGATGCAAGTGTCTGGCGATAGTGAATGAAATGATGCTTGGGAATAAGTGACGGAGGGGCGTTTTGCCGTCACAACTGCTGCTGGTGTTGATGAAAGCGACCCGCTGAAAAGTCGTCTCGAGGCTCGAACTAGCCGGGCTTCAGCCGGTAGAGCCGCGATGGTTTTCTCGCGCTAAACCCTATCTGGCCTCAGCAGCTCGTCGCGCTCATCCACCTCTCACTCACCTTAAACTTGTACCTGCTTTCTCAACAGCGTAAAGTTCAAGTTTCGAGTCGCAATGGCTGGGCTTGTTGGGTATGCAAGCTCTGATGAAGAAGGAGAAGACGAGCAGCCTCAATTGCAGCAGGATTCCCCTCAGGTATTTAAACATTCCGGGCTTACATCTGCGCAATGGCATCTCACTAACACGCTGATAGGTCGCCACACAGGCAGCAGCGCTTGCTGCAGATGAGGCTGAGAAAGACGAACCTCAAATTCGTGAGCTCATCCAGCCAGAGCCTCTATATCAAAACAAAATGACAGCTTGCTAATGTTAAAATAGAAAACTCGGTAGAATCTTCATCACCACAGAAGAAAGATTCCGACAGCCAGCCGCAGCCAGCCCCCATCGGCCCCGTGCCGCAAAATGCTGTTCCTTTAGGCCCATCCCTTCCACCCGCCGATGCTTCCATCGCCAACACCCTCCCAGAACCCGATGGGCCACAAGAATCACCCTCGTCCCCTTATTCCTCCAACCGCGGCTTGATTCACGATCTCACCCTCCCCTCTGTACCCAATCTCGACATCCCGCCTTCGCCACCAGGATCCCCTCCCCCTGGATCCAACAAAAAAGTCGAGCAGTTTTTAGAACTCAAAAAGAAAGGCGTCCACTTCAACTCCAAGCTTGAACAGTCTACAGCACTTAGGAACCCATCTTTAATGGACAAGCTGCTGGACTTTGTCGGTATCGATGAAGTGGGCCAGTATGAGACGACGCTTCCGAAGGAGCTGTGGGATCCAAGGGGGTTTCCAGAATGGGCATTTAGAGACAAGCTCAGCAAAAGCAGGGAGAAGATTGCGAAGGAGAAGGAGGCGGACAGAGCTGCTAGCAGTCGAACAGCCATCGACTTTGTCCCATCGAACGCTTCATCAAGCGGAGGAGCGCCTGGCTTACCGGGAGGAATAAGCGCAAGGGGCGAGAAGCGTAAGGGTGGCTGGAAATAATGATTACGAACAATACATGAACGAATTTGGATACAAATCAGTCGGCAGAGTAGATTTGGCTCAACATTAATGAATTGCGCGCCCACGGGCCGCTCCTACACTACCTTGGGGAGAAAAAATACAAACATCTACATGGAGGTATCATGAATCAGAATGCACCGTGACTGAGGCTTCATAACACATCTTCTTGTTCGTTCCCATCCCTTTAATGAAAACATCACTCAATGAGTGAAATGGTATAAGTACCCCTGCACCAGGACACGCAACTGCAAGCATCTTCCACAGGAAAGAAGAAATATTTTTGCACCACCCGACAGAAACTGAAAATCAAAGATCCCCCCTCCCCCTAGTACCATCTACGGACGCAATTATAAGATAGAATAAAAAGGTTTTCATAAATAAAATGTAGTTGAGCAGGTTTTGTTTTCTTTAGCTAGCTTGAGCTAAGACTTGCAGCCGAGGGTGGTGCCGAGAGAGCTCTTGATAATGGAACCGATATCCATAGGGACAGTTTGGTTGTGAGCACCCAGACCGTCAAGGAAATACTGAAGGGTTTGGCCATCGTTGCGAACGGCAGAGCCCTGGAGCTTGACGGGGATGACTCCAGTCTTGCAGTACTTGGGACTTTGAACGGCATTGATGACGGCAAGCTGGTCGAGGTTGGCGCTGATCGGGACCTTGTTGCTGCCGGGCACAAGGAGGAGGTTAGGAATGGTGAGATTGCCAATGGTGGTGTCGTCGATAAAGTTGGTGAAGGTAGCGTTGCCCTAGAAGAAAAGTGTCAGCAAAATCATGCGGCCCCTATACCAAAGAATGTTCGAGCCGAGCGCTCATGGAAGCAACCTACAATATCAAGAGTGAAGTAAGAGGCGTTGGGGATATCGGCGGTAGCGCTGAAATTTGGCTGGCCCTTCTTGGCAGAAACGTTGATCTTGCCGTTGGTGACGGTGGTGCCATTGAACAAGTTCAGGCCGTTCATGGTAATAGTCTTCTTGAAGGTAACGCCCCATTTCCTGGACAGGCCAGACGGCTTAACCTTGGTGCGGCCCTCGACGGTGACACGGAGAGTCTCGTTGGCGGCAAACCAGATGTTGAAGGTGTTGAAGGCGTCGGGGTTCTGGATCTGACGCTCTTGGCTGATGTTGACCTGCTGGTGCTTGTTGCCGTTGGTGGCGGGGAAGGAGACGTTGAGGAAAGGCGTATGGCCGGGGAGATCCTCGAGATACATGACTCCCTCGAAGGGATCAATGTTTGCCTTGATGGAGCCATCGGTGGTGATGGTGGAGTTGATTTCTAGCAAAATGCTGTCGGACTTGGCGTTGAGGACATTGACGCCCTGGATCTCCAGCTTGGCATCGTTGATCTTGCTCTGGGCAATCCTGGGAACACCAACGAAGATGCTAGACGATGTGTTAGTGGGACAGAGCATTTCAATTTCCACTCCTCCTTTTTGTCACGTCGACGCATGGTCGCGTCAATGGCTCCCCCAATGGAGACACTTACACTAAGCAGATGACTAGGACAGCTATGCAGATGAAGACGAGCAGATATGCCCACCAAAAGCGCTTCAGGTGACGCACAAATCCTCCCTTCTTAGTCGTGGCCGCAGGCGCGGGCTGATAGACTCTGCTCTCGGTCTGAGTGACCTCGGCGTTATCGCTCTCTTGCTTGTCGGACATTTTGCTGTTCCCTCGCGTTGAGCTCTTAGCAGATGGTTGTTGTATGTCGTGTGAAGAAAAGAGAGAGAGAAAAGGGAGGAGCGAGAACCACTAGGGAGTAAGTACCCCAAGCCTGTTCCGTCCTATATTGAAAGATATATAAGTGCCTTGCGCAGCGAGACCCTCGTTCCAGTCGACGGAAAAAAGAGGCAAAAGTTGGACAATCACAAACTCTCTCGAGCCCTCATTAAACCTATCGAGGACTTGGAGCCGGTGATGGCGGTGGTGGCGGCCGGTAGATGGATCGGGGGCGCTCACAAAACCTCCACGGCAAGAATGGAGGACAAGAGCAGGGCCGGGGTGCGACTACGAGCTCGAATTTGGCGATGGCGATGTTTAAGTACAAGTAGCGACACAGAAACAGACACAGACATGGGAGCAGCGGAAGGGCAGAGACGAGCAGGGGCAAGACTGGCGCAGGGAGGGTCATGGGCCTGGTTGCTAGCTCACGGCTGTTGGCAATTCTGGCGATGGCCTCCCCCAGACTGGACGGAACGGCTGTTGCTGCTGTCTTTCTCTGGGCTACGTCTTGTGATGCTCACACCCCCTCCCTCTTCTCTTCCCCTCGCTCTAAGCCGGTTTGCGAGACACACTCGCACAGCGCCATTAACGCATCATGAAGCAAAAGGCGTGCCGTAGCTAGCTGGAGAAAAGCTTCTCCCAGCGTCTCCCACGTTTGGTGTCAGGCCGGCCCCAAGCCTTCCAGCGTCCTCCAGCACCCCCCCAGGCCAGGCGTCGGTTGCCCACCCATGGCACGAGATCCGTTTTTTCTCTTTCTTCTTCCCTGTTCATCTGCATCTAGCTCGAAGCCACTCACGGCCGCCAATCTCCACCATCCCCTGCAACAGTGCAGCGATTTGCAGCCAGCTAGACTCGGTACACGAGACGCAGCGGGGAGGCAGCGCGCTATTCCCTGTTGGGCACTCCCCCGAGACTGTTTTTTTTCCCGCCCTAGTCGCAAGCCTCCCCGCAAAGGCTCCCGATACATGCATGTACCGCTGCTGCAGTCAGAATTCAGCTGCTGATCGCTGTACCAGACCGGGTACCTTTGCGCCCAGGCTCTGCAATCCGGGGCTCGGATAATCGCTGTAGCGCTCCTACAGGTACAAAGTACCTACTGGATGTGGCACTACCGCTACTGTACCACTGCGCCACCACTTCTTCTTCCCCAGGAGCTGCCTCTACAGTACATACAGCCATCGTTGTTTGATCGATGCCTGCGTGGCCCCCAAAATAACATGAATGGCAACCAGCTGTGTGTGAGTACATGGATGTTGGTTTACCTGCCGGCCACTAACTCGAAGATCCCTCGGCTGCTTGTGAATCTTGGTAACACGTGAAAGTCGACGTCGACGCAGGAACCGGGCAATGGGGAGGACGCACGAGAGAAGCCGTGATCGAAGTTTCGGACAAACCATGATCAACACGCTGGAGAACCAGCTACACAAGGACACAAGCCGTATTACGCTGGGTTTGCAAAGCAAGAGCATTTCCTTATCAGAGATCGTCCAATGATTGCATGGCAATGGGCTCGTTGTGATAAATTTCTTCTTGCACGCGACCCTGCTCGCCCCATCGAAGTTTGGCAACCTAGCAGTGGACTCCGCTTGACTCGGCTGTCAAGTCTTGTTTGTCCTCGTACTGCCTCTTACAGTATGTACGCTCGTCACGTACGAAGGACAAGCAAGCATCATGCCATCGTTGAGTGATACCATGACACTTGGGCAAGGATGGATCACTGCCAAGGTGCCGCTCCAGCTGCTACAGCACGGTCCACGACGCACAGCATGATGCCAAGCATCCCTGCCAGACAATTGGCCATCCACCGGCCTTCTCACCTATTGTACTGGACAGGCGGGTTCAGAACGGCATCTCTTGCTTGACAATCAATTTCAGTCACCTCTGGCACACGCCCAGTGGCAACCGCGAAAAGGGGCCTCAGACCGAACCAAGCTAGGTGAAAGGGCCGAGTAGGAGAAACATGGCCAATCTGCGCCATGAGAAGAGGACCGGCCTTAAGTTGCTCTCCATGCGACCATGGCAAAGCGTCTCCACAGCTTCCCACACAACCTTAGCAAAGCCTGCAGGAGATGCTTCCTGACTGGGAACCGTTCCGGCGTGCCACCGGGCCGCACTTAAAGACGCCACCGCATCTCATCATCTCTCAAAATGCACTACGGACTAATTCTGTCAAAAGATCTCCATATCAACTTGCGAGAAAGGAATAAAATACGAGTACAATTGGACAAATGGTACTGGTACGGCATGTCTAGGTTTGGAATCTCAAGCCAACAAGCCTGGGTTTACTAGCAGAATCTTGCAGCCAGTGACTCAGACAAACAAACAGACCCTTTGGGATAAGCACAATGCGGAAGTGAGATGAAAAAATTTGCAGACTGTTGCTCCGTTTACCTGCTCTTGCAGGTACGTAGTAGTATTCGTGGTAACGTCGGATTAGCGTCTCGTCTCATCAAGACAGTTACACCGAGCACACGATGATTACTACAGGGCTCGTTGTCTGCCGGCCATTAGTACCTTATCTCGACCTGATCCCGGCTGATGCGATTCATGCAATGACAGGCGGCCGTCTTGAGAAAACAGCAGTTCGCCAACACGATTGGCAGGACGGAAATAAAACGTCCCCACCCTTCCATTGATGAGACACTTGTCACCAAAGATAGAAGGGGGCACAACTCCAATCATAGCCTCGACAAGTGAGGCAACTGGACAGCCTGTTTGATGAATCTTCCGCATCTCGGCACGATGCGACGAGTTTCAGCGTGAGAAGGCCTGCTTTGTCATTGGCATGGGAGGGAAATGGAGGCCCATTGCATTTAGGATTCTCATGACACAGCCATCCACCTGAGAGCTCCTCCAACAACTATTTCGTTCTGGTACGGCTCCACACCATCAAATTTTGTCGGTAGACCCGGCGGCGTGGGCTTGGATGGCGCCGCCCAGCCAATCGCACACGGCCGATGGTTCCAGATTCGTTTCCCACGACTGGCCGCGGGTTGGTTCAAGTTGTCGAGATTTCGCCACGGCAAACCTTAGTAGTTGTATGATGCCGGCAAGTGCACGATAGGCTGTCTGTCTTGTGGTGTGGCGTGGGCTGTTTACAGGTTACCCGTCTGCCCTCGCGTGGCACCATTTGCATCATCGGAAGTCCGGCTACAGGGCATTGTCGTCCGGAGAGCAGAACGTTTTCTTACATGCACTTGCACGAGGTTCTAGACGCGTCTACGAGGATGTGGCAGCAGCTATTTCTTGGCACCTAGGAGCGCAAACAAGTTTCGACAGCATGGCGGCTGCAGCAGATACGAAGCGCCATGGCCTTGTCTAGTACATATTGTAAGAGACGCGGCCAACACTTTTAAACAGACGAGCACAGGCGCGCAAGCATTGGGGAAGCTCACGAGAATCGGCGCACCCGGTGAACCGAAGAGGCATTACGTTATTGACAGCTTCCGAACCAATCCCATTCTCTGAGCTGAGAGGCTCACGCACCCTGCTGAGGTTTGTGTGTGTGTGTGTGTTGCAGTACGGACTATTGTGTGATCCTTGCCAGATTCAGCTGCAGCACATGCCCATTTTGGTTTTCTTGCCATACACACTGAGGCATACTTGCTACCACACCATGGCCATTGATACATTGACGCATTGCTAGCCCAACCATTCCTAGGGCGCCCTCTTTCAGAAACCTCGTCTTCTCGTTACAACGCAGCTAGCCATCCGTGCCCAAGGGGGTCTTTGCACGAGTGCGGTGTCAGAAGTGGTTTAGTATGGGATTATGGGATTGCTTCTATTTGTGCGCCCAAACCTTGGCGTTCAAAGATGCAGAGGTTTTTTAATTAGAACACGGGACAAGTGGATTTCAAGTCATTCATATCTGTACTCCCTGTAGGTAAGTAACAGTAGCTGCATATACTAACGCAGCAGTCTTCAGGCAGGGGCATCGTGTGCAAACTAACAAGACAAGTTGAGCCCTTCTCGTCATTGCTGTTGATCCTGATCACCGCAACAAATGACGGTGAACCCGTTAGCATTACGAGCTAAGCCGGCACACACATGATGGGATTCTCTCAAAACACATCTGGTTAGGCACACGAGCTCTTCTGTAACACCGTGGAAGATCATTGCATGAATATATCTGCAACCCAATCATTCTACCAGGCTAAACCGTTCCGCCTGTTTGCACATGTCACTCGCTTGCTGTCTTTTCTACCTTGGCCAAGCAAACTTGGCAACACTACATGTACATTAACCCCAGACCGTCTTTGAGATGACCATCTCGCAATCTTTCCCCAGCTTTGATCGTTCACAGCTGCAGAACGCTAGTGGTTGTGCTACCCACTCCCCACCAACCCCGCCGTCGGCTTGTGCGTGCCATCATCACGAGCTGCCGAGGATGCATCTGAAGATTCCTCACAACTTGGGCTTCGCCCACAGCCCCTGCCGGTCCAGCTCCGCATCTCCGTCGAAAATATCTCTCTCCACACGGCGAGTGTTGATCTGGGGCCCCAAAGATTAGTTACTGCTACCAAAGATCGCCAGATTCAAATCCTGGGGGCGGCATTTTCGTCTTGTCTAGCCTCCGGACTCGCATCCGGGGGAGCGGGGACAAATGACTGAGGGATTGGGCACTTACAAATCTTGGGCCGAGCTCTTGTATATTCTTCGCTCCGAGGAGTCTCATGCATGTGGAGGTCTCCGCCTCGAGAACTATTCAGGGCCGAAATCGCCCGAGTCGTTAGAGAATCTCCTCGATATTTTCTCAAGCATGACGTGAAGAGAGGGGAAAGATGCACAAAGATAAGCATGGGCCATGATGACATGGTTCGTCCCGGAGCAGTATTGCCGCGGGATATCAAATCACATCATCATCACTGATACGGCAAACGCGGTAGGTTCATCATGGTGGCAAGAATATCGAAATCACTGCTGCACTTGGTCAGGACTTTGGGGATCAACTCACTTTCAAGCGTTCGCTCCACGCCAGCCGCGCCTCCAGCACCGAGTCCAAACAAGGCAGCACGGCCAATGCCCACCGCTTTGGCACCTAGACAGAGAGCCTTGACAACATCCGTGCCTCTCTTAATGCCGCCGTCGACCCAGACCTCGATCTTGTCAAACACTTCTGGGCAATACTTTCTGATTTCAAGCAAAACGTGAACCGGGGGCGACGCCGTGTCCAGGGCTCGCCCACCGTGGTTCGACAGGATGATGGCCTTGACCTGCGGCGCGTACTTGGCGGCAAGGTAAGCGTCCTCGTATGTGTGAATACCCTTTAGCACGATTGGCAGATCCGTGTGCTTTGCCAACCACGGCAGCGTTGTCTGCCATGTCAAGTCGCTGGCCGTGCCGAAGAATAGCTGCTGGCCGACACCGCCGCCGCCAGGAAGCTTCTCCTGACCACCCTTGACGCCAGGCTCGACTACAAAGCCTTTGTCCAAGTTGGACTTTTCATCAATCTCACGCTTGCCAGGTACGGGGGCGTCCAGTGTCAGAACGACACATTTGAATCGGTCCTTCATCTTATTGATGCGTCTCAGCATCTCTTCGCTTCGGTCACGACGGTTCTGCACATATAGCTGCCACCCAAACACCTGGCCTGGCTTTGCCTCGGAGGCAATCTCATCTGGCGTCATTGAGGAGTTGTTCGAGATGAGCTGCATGGCTCCGAACTTTGCTGCCGCCCTGGCGATACCGAGCTCGCCGTCTGGATGAGCTAACCTGGCCATGGCAGCCGGGCTGACATATACGGGGAGGCCAACCTTGTGGCCGAGGAGTGTTGTCGACATGTCGCATTGTGTGCAGTCGACGAAGACGCGCGGCCGTAGAAGAATGTCTCGGTATGCTGTAGTGTTGAATGTTTTGGTGACCATGTCGTCACTGGCAGAGTAGTAGTACGCCCATGCCTTTTTCGAGATTCTCTTAGTGGCCTCTGCCTCAATCTCGTCGAGATTCAGAAGCGTCTCGAGAGGTGCTGGGGCATCATCGTTCTTCTTGACTGGAACTGGCTTCGCCTCAATCAACGTCTCAGGATCGACGGTTCCCAATTTGGCCTCGGGCTTGAGCTCGTCCAGCGTGCCTGACGGGTGGATGGGATCAAAGTCCTCGGTGGCATCCTTGCCGGCCAATTGGAGAATCACCTTTGCGCCGCCCGGGTGTGAGGAGAGGAAGTCGGTCACGTCGTACACCTGGCCGTAGAGGATGACCCAACAGCTGTCGGCGGTGTTGTGCTTCGCGACTGGCAGGGACAAATTAGTACCTTGGGTAAGGACGCACCAACAGCGGCCAACGACAGGGAACACATACCTTCAGCGGCATCGAATACCTTGGCCATGGCGTAGTTCTTTTGTGCTGTTGGTTTTTCTCTCGTCTATGGAGGAATTGAGGTTGGCATGGCCTTTTTTTTTTTTTTCGCGAGCTCGACGGTAGTTCTACCGTCCTCTATTAATGACGGGCGTCGTCCGCCGAGTTCGCCCAGCGGATCCTGCCTGTATGGCTATCGAGGACTGCGGGTGGAGTTTGGCTTCGCGTGGGGGAGGGAGCTATTCGCGCCCCTGGATGAATCTTCCCACCAATGATGATGGCGCTTTCGGTAATACTAGGTCGACTTGGTTGGCTATAGTCGGATGCGTTTTCCTAGTTTCGTACAGCTTTTGTTACCCTATACAGAAGCAGTTTGGTCTACGATTCGACGATTTGTTGCTTTATCAAGGCAAACAATGTAAGTAATCAATTGATCTTTGGTTTTACACATCTTCATAGTTCAATCGACAACTGCGTACGATCAGGCAAGTGATGACGAGTTGCATATCATGTCATCAGATTAATTGAGAGTTAGCCCATAGCGTAACTATTCGATTACTCCCGTCTACTTCCCGTTGGAGTAATTTCAACGATTGACTACTAATTGTCCAGCATTTATCCGCTTCTGACCCGATCCGGAAATCATCGGCCCCGGTTTCGGGGCTCCTCACAAAAACACCAAAGCAAAGAGAGCGGAATTTCGCAAAGCCGACGGGGCAAAGATGGCCGAATCAGAGAAACGCATCTTGAACGCATTGCGGCGACTGCGACCAACTCTTCTCCCCCGCGTTCTTTGATCCCGAGCTTATCGGTTTAGCCCGTGTTTAGCCGAATGTTTCCTATCGCGGTGCGTTCTTCCTTTTGCTCTTTTTGGTGACCTCATAGCCCGCCTCTGCCGGAATATCTCCGTGCCAAAGCCAAAATACCGACCGAACAAGCAAAATCCCGAGCTACGAAATAAAAAAAGCAAACCCGCCTACGACAAGCTTGCTCGATAACACATGCACGATCCTTGATGCTGTAGTGCCACGTTACTACAGTCCAACGGAGAGACTAGACCGGGTTACCGTTTTATTCCTTTTCGGCTGATTTGCACCTTCTTATCAATTGTTATAAAGCTTATACATAAGCAACGGAATTCATGCGCTCGACAGCTTCCGCGGCAAAGGCCCTCAGAGCCGTGGCTCGGCCATGCGCACGATGCCGTCTCCAAGCGTCACGATCCATGTCCACGGCGGCGACGCAAAACCCCGCGTCGCATAGCATCGCAACGCGGGCCGGCAGCTGGAGAGCATTACAGCGACATTCCAGCGTCGCGTTCTTGTCAACCAGCGCCGCCGCATCCGAGCCCTCGGCATCAGCCTCCTCAGAACAACAACAAGCCTCAGCCTCAGCCTCATCATCATCGTCACCAACACCGTTGACGCACTACGACATCTTCCCCGAGACGCTGCCCCTCGGCCCTCCTCCCTCGGGCCACTTCCCCATCGACACGCGCGCCCTCCGCCGCGAGTTCCTGCGCCTCCAGGCCCGCCACCACCCGGACATGCACCCCCCCGGCCCCCTCAAGACCCGCGCGGAAGCCACCTCGGCGCTCATCAACGACGCCTACAAGACGCTCGCGAACCCGCTCCTGCGCGCGCAGTACCTGCTGTCCCTGCGGGGGGTCGACGTTGCCACCGACGAGACCATGCAGGTGGACGACCCGAGCCTGCTGGCCGTTGTGCTGGAGGCGCACGAGGACATCTCGGACGCGGACAAGGAGGAGGATCTCGCTGAGCTGAGGGCCGTGAACGATGCGCGGATTGGGGAGAGCGAGGGGGTCTTGGAGGAGGCGTTTCGGGAGGACGATGTGCCCGCGGCGAAGAGGGAGGCTGTGAAGTTGAGGTATTGGGTGAACATTAAGCAGAGCTTGGATAATTGGGAAGAAGGGCGGCCGGTGGTGCTGCAGCATTGATCGATTTGATGGCTGGATGAGGTGTGCCTTTTTTTTTTTGCGTAAATATTTCGATTTTGTTCAAATGTTTCTTGCTACATTTGTGTACTCTCAATGGGATGGGAGAGAGAAAGGGCATACATTTAAAGGAGGACAATATAGACAGGGACAACGATAGACCATGTAACAACAACATACTCAACTCATGTTGACACTACCGAAGCAACATTATTTATTAAACACCATATATAGTAGAACAGCGGGAAAAGAAAAGGTTACACACTTTGTCGAATGTACTTCGTCCATTCATGTCATATATATACTAACGCACACAGATTCGTTATACCTACTTAATAAATAATGTTTAAAAAAAGATGTCGGCAGAACACACAAAGTGTCCGCCCGACAGATATACATGTGTATATATATATATATATATATATATATAAATATATATAAGAAGCAAGTCATTCCTAAGTAAAAAAAGAGTGACGCCGTGGTAAATGGCAACACCCTGTTTATATTCCCTTCATCCCTATCTGCACCCAACGCCAGTCATGCATGCTTTGTAACGCGGACATATATATAATAATAAAAAAAGACATGAAAAAAAAAGAGTTAAAAGACATATATGTGTCTTTGATTGCACATACGTATTCGACATGTGCCCAACATATTACCGCCGATACGCGGGTAACTGCTCTCCATCATCGTTGTCGTGTCTCCTGTGTGCACTTGTGCTCCCGGATGATGTTGCGTTGGCATTATACCCCGGATAATCATCCTCATCTTCAACCATCGTGGGCGCAGTAGGTTCAGCATCGGCCGTCAAGTCGTCTTCCCTAGGGGCCCGACCGGGTCCGCCGCCTCGATCCATGTCCTCGGGGAATTCGGGGGGAGCGCTGGCTTCTTGCATCAACCGCCTCCGCTCACGCTCCTGTTTATCCTCTCCAGCGTCCATCGGACCGTGGACGGCGGCCGTGAGCTCTCCTTCTGTCGGCGCCGAGGGGCCAATGTTGTCTTCCTCCCCTGAATTGCCTGCATAGGGTGGTCGTGGCGTGGCTTGGGCATCGTAAATGTCGTCTTCGTCAGGCGAAGACGGTCCGGCTTGCGGACGGCTGGGCAGCAGTCTTTGCTCTGCCTGTCGTATGCGATCCTTCTCCGTCAAGTTTCTCGGATCGGGCAACTGAGGAGGGGGCGGCGTATAAGATGGTGCAAGGTCGTGATTGCTTGTTGGCGGATAGCTCGGATGAGGAGGGCGAGTAGGAGAGTAGGATGGACGTTGATGATTTGCGGGTGGAGGAAAGTATTCTTGCGGTGGTGGCCCATGGGGTTGCGGGTTGTTGCGGTCGATTTCTTCGTACCGGGTCGGGGTTGGGACAAAGCCCATCTCGTCGTCGCTCTCCGCATTGTCGAGCGTTTTCGACGACGATGACACCTTGACGAGCCTCCGCTGCCCTGATGAATCCACCGTGCCGACAATGGACTCGATCGTCACGCAAACAACGCCCTTTTGCCTCCTAAGCGGAGCTGTGTCGATGATTTCTATCTGAGCCCCCCTTCTTTGTGAAAACATGCTTATGGTCTGGTCTGTAGCGCTGCTGCTAAACGCGCCGAATCTCGAAGTCTTCCTGGATGGGAAATGGCCGGATAACCTCCCACCCAGGTCGACAATGACTTCTACCTGGTACTTGAAGGAAACCATATCTCCAGGTACTCCCTTGATGGTCGGGAACGAGTCATCAGGGAGTTTGACTGGCACCGTGACGGACGCTTGCATAGTTCCCGGGTCGATGATGAGCGGTGCCGTTGTCTGGTCGAGGTCTTTGCGGAATACGCTGATGGAGCCGGCGGACGAGAGTGAAAGGCCGCCCAATCCCGTTCGTGACCTGGGGTATATATCTTCTCTCTGTATTCGACGAGCGTCCTCCCTGGTCATCATGTCCTTGAACAGCTGAGACGGAGGCGAGGTATCGATTTTACCCTGACGAAAAAGCGTTACAATAACACCAGTCATGCTCTTGACCTGCTTGATATGCTGCACCGTAACTCGCACCGACACGGCGTCACCCGGCAAGCAGCCGCCCCTGAGAAGCTCAATGCTGGCGGTAATGGTCTTGTCGTTGACAGCTTGCTGCTGCGCTGACGTGAAGGCACTGGTGCCCACCTGCGATAGCTGAGTCATGTCGCTCCGACTCATGGCGGTGCTGATGCTGCGGCCGCTCTCGCCGCTGACCTCGCTCTGCACATCGCTCAAGGCGGCCGCTCCTCGGCGTTCGCTTTGCTGGTCGCCAAGGGAATTCTCACGCGCGGCGGTATCCTCGGAAGGGGTCGAGATTGGTTCTCCTGCGTCGGGCTCAGGGACCACATCGACCGGCTCAGGGGTAGCAAGAGAGCTCTTGTCCAGTGCCATTGATGACTTCTTCTTTCTCGTCTTCTTAGATATCGGTTCAAGGAAGATGGTTCTCGGTTGCGGCGGCGGCAGGAGGCCCACGTCTATCCTCTCGGCCAGCATTACTTTTCTTTCGCATGTCATTGTCGCCGCCATGGATAGGGGGCGTGTTAGAGTTGCCGTGACCATGTAGGATACGGTTCCGCGCTCAAACTAGATTGGGGTACAAAGTGACGTTAGCAACCGCTCTCGATAGTTGACGCCCCTTGTGCGTATATACACATCCACGCCAAGGTTGCTGGCGCGGGACTATGTGATCCGAAACTCACGTCAATGCTACTTGGCAGTCCCTTGTCGGGGAACACCAAGTCGAAACCGAATTCGTATCTGCCGGGATCAAGCCTGCCCTCGCCACTCAGCACCTGCTCGTCCTGAAAGAGGCTTGCGAAGCCGTTGCCATGATACTGCGGGCGCGAGGAGCTTCCTCCCTGCGGCAGCGTAGTGATGTTGCGGACCTTGGCAGCGCCGGCGGGATCCCTCAGCACGCGCACGAAGCCGTGCAGCGTAACGACCAGGTGGGTGATGCGCACCGGCTTGACAACGACCAGGACGACGGAGCCGTGGACGTGTTCGCCGGCGACATATTTCCGATGAGGCTCGTCGCAGACTACATGGAAGTCGGTCACGCTGCGGTTGCGGTTGCGCAGGGGGAGCGGCAGAGGCAGATTGAGGGAGCTGCCCAGGCGCGCCAGTAGGCCGGGGCGCGATACGGACGCGGAGGAAGACGTAGACGGGGGAGCAGTCGTAGGGACGGGAGTATGCGTGAGAGTAGGCGTAGATGTTGAGGCAGACACTGAGGGCGTATTCGATGTTCTTGCGGATGGGGATGCTGAAGCTGCAGGGATCGACGACCGAGGCGGCTGGCTGTCGGCAGCAGCGGCAGGGGGCGAGGAGGGCGATGCTGGTGTCGGCGATGGTGAGGACGGCGTGGACGGCGTGCTATCTCTGTCTGTGGTGTCTCTTGCTGCGGTCGAGGCGCCAGGGAGCGCTGGCAACGACACGGACGCCGAGGCCGACGATGTCGACACGCCGCCGCTGCCCCGAGATGCTGGCATGGGCGAGACAAGGCGGGCTCGAGCGGTCGCCGGTCGCTGGCAACGGCCGTAGGGACGCTGTGGTGGGATCGTGTGTTGTTCGTCGCTATCGCCGTGGGAGCCGCAAGATTGCTAAGGTAGGTAGTTTCGTAGATCGTGGCTCGTAGGTCGTGGCTCGTGGTCTGGCGCTTCGGAATCCCCAAATCGACAGCGTTTCCCGAATCGGACTCCAAAAATGAAAGAGGAGAGACCAAGACAAAAAGGAAAAAAAAAAAAGACAACGAACAAGACAAGAGAAAATGTAAAGTAAAGAAAAAAAAAGAGAAGAGAGAGAAACCCCCCAAAAGCTAGACCCGGCGCCGGTGGGATTTATCTCCCTACTTCTCCCTCTCGCTCTCGCTCTCTCTCGTTCGTCTGCAGATAAAACAGAAAAAGACACACCCCAATAATTCCTACCTAGTAATATTAAACTGCACAGCAGCCTTGCTCCAGCGAGCGGCAGACCGGCACGGTGGAGGGGGGCCAGAGGTGTTGAAAGAGGCAAAGTTCGGCAAGCCGCGCTGGTTGCGTCGCTGCGAGGCTAGCAGCACCAAACATTCCTAACTGGCGGGATGACGACGCTTGGAAGAAATGAAAGAAAATGAATGGCAGGATAAGCAAGCAAAAGAAAAGGACTGACAGACACGCAAACAGGAAAGAGAAGGACAACGATATGAATTATTGCACAACACAGACACAGGCACAGACACAGACGCAAAGGAGATGGGGAAAAAGGGCCAGCAAGCCGATTATCCTGCCTGTTTCGGTTGGCGCATCTCAGTTGGGGATTTGCCAAATGCACATGCACCCGCTTTGGCCGAGTTGCAGCAAGGCGGCGGTGCTTGTACCAATTGGGCCGTCCGAGTGCTGCCACAAACCGCCGCCCAAAAAGAAGCCACCGACTCGCCTATCCTGATCCTGATCCTGATCCTGATGCCATCCTTGCATCGAATAGGGACAAATCGCATGTGCTATACAGATAAGCTGGAAGCATACCATATACTAAGGTATATACTTGTCCCCTTGATTGAGGTCATCTTGCTGTCTGGTACCATTGATTACTCGTACCGCTATACCTACCTGTAGTATCTATAAGCTGGAGCTTTCAAGCTTTCCAAGGTTCCGTGCCTCTGTACCTATCTCCTAAATCAGCTAAATCGGTACCCCTGGACCCTTCTGCGAGCCCCCCTCCAGGCACACCAGCTACTACTAGCACCGATGGAGCTCATCTATCCCAGACCCGACCTGTTGTTTCGTTTCGTCAATCCAACCATTAAAAACCTCCTCCTCCTCATCAGCCCATCCTTCAAAGCTTGGGCCATAACAAAAAAAAAAAAAAAACAAGCTCCCCCCCCTTCTTCCCCGTGTTTCTCCCCCCCGGGTGCTTCGGAGGGATTTTTCTAGGCACCCGGCACTTGAGAGAGCCAAGACAAAAGCTTGGTTGCGCTGCAAGCTGCCGTTTCAGCCATCCATCCATCCCATACACGCACACTTGCCTACAGTGATATAACGGGTAATACGCACACTTACAGATGATATAATACTACATTGGATGCCTCTCACACGCTTTCGATCCCGCCCCCTTCTGCTTCGTGCCGCCGGTCCGGTCAATCCGGGCTGTTGATGGCACCAAAAGCTGCGGGGGAGGCCCCCTTTGCAACATGTACGGAACCTCTATTTCCGTTGCTCTAATATTACTCGCAAGTACCTGCGCCCGCACCTCTGCTAACGGCCATGCATCGAAATGGAATGGATGCTTTTGGCGATGCACCTGGCACCGGGGAGTCTAGGCCTTTCCAAATTCCAGCCCGCATCACCGATCCCTGTCCTCTGTCATCAGCGCTTGGTAGAACCCCCAAGTGGCACACCGTGAAAGCACCGACCAAATGCACGTAATATTGATTGACTGGGGCAATATAATGGCAGCCTGCTTGTATTACTGTACGACCACAAACAGCCGATGCCAGTTGGTCCTGTTCAAACCATGCAGTTAAATGATATTTGCCTAATTACGGTAGATTCCAACAAGAACTCGGCTTCACGCATGGCCATGGAAGAACTCTGGATTCCGTTGATTTCATCATGTTTAACTGTGCCATTGTCTATCTGCTCTTTTTGATGTACCAAGTAATGCACTCTCGAATCGTCCGAGCTCATCATGCTATGTATGCTCGCCCTTATGAAATACTATTACAACAACTTGTTAGTTGTGTCCAATGCTCAAACAAAATCCGAACCGGTTGCCAACGCCAATCAATGCCGGTAATCGCCATACAGGAATTCCAAATCAAGCCCCATGTGCGCCAAACCAATGCCTCGCAAACAGAATACAATTTGTACACCAACTCTTCTCGTTTGGATTTAATCCAACGCCTCGCCTGACAGAATGCTTCTCAATATGTCGGCGCCAACTCCATCGGCTATCGTCTCAATCTCCTTGTCTCCGACACAGCTGGCAATCCGCTTTTCGTCACCACTAGCAGCCGCTACTTTTCGACCTCGTTTGCTGGGTGTCTGCGGCGTCACGAAGCTGCCCGTCTTTCCTTCCACTGCATTGACAAGCCCGAGGGTCTCAAGACTGCCCACCACTTCACGGAACTCGGAGCTCGACAATGGATGAAGCACCGAGTCACGAAGGCACAGCTTGCAGTACTTGTCAAAAAGCACCTTGATCGTGGGTGCCAGCGTCTGCGTCTTGCTGGGGGTAAGAGGCGCACTGGGCGCCTTGACCATTGTTCGAATGTGGTTCTCGTAGGCCACTAGTGAACATAACGCGGCCTTCTGCTGTAGGTTGAGAGCCTTGAGGCGCTGTGCAGTTCCATTGCTGAAAGCTGCAGCAGTGACCTTGTTTAGGTGGCCAATTGAAGCTCGTGGAGCAGTCTCAGCGGTCAATGCCTTGAGAGAAGCCGTCGTAATCGAATACACGCTGCGGCCAGTCCCGCCCGTCGAGTTACCGTTGCTGATGTTCTCTCCAAGGGGCTTCTTGGTAGGTGTCAACTGCAAAAACTTTTCCCGTGCTGCCTCCTCGTGCTTTGATCTGGTCTCGGCTTCGACTAGATCCAGAGCTCGACGACATATCTCAAACGCCTTGCGTAAATCTCCAGTCTGGCTTGAAACCTTGCGAGAACAGAGCTCGATGGCGGCGGGGTGAATGAACGGGACATAGGCCTCCTTTCCCTCAGGCATCAGTGACTTCAATCGGGTGATGATGATGTTCTTGACCTGGGCCGCGGTGTATGGTAGGAAGGGAAGTAGCTCCGGCTTGAGATTCTTCGATTTGAGTCGTGGCAAAAACCGGTCGGTAAGATCCAGAGCGTTGGCGATGCCAAGCAGCATAAGCCTGGAGGACTTTGCCAGAGACCATTCAAAGACTCGGTACAAGCTTTCCAGATCCAATGTAAGAATGTGATCAATCTCATCAAGGGTGACGAGATAAGTGGTCGATGACTTGGCCTTGGACGAGAACATTTTCTGCAGAGTTGAGATAGCCTCTGCTTCTGTCAGATCGCTGCTGTCTTCATCGAGAGCGGCGAGTAGTGTGTGATATAGATCCTTTGACGACTTGATGCTCATGCAGTTGACGTATGCACTGCGAACTCCATCCTTCTCAGAATACGTCTCTGTCATGTTGGTGATCATGGCACTCTTTCCGGTGCCAGGGGGGCCGCTGATGTAGATGCACCCTCCGGGGGATGGTGTCGAAAGACGATCCAGGAACGCCGTCAACTGCTCTCGCTCGGCTTCCCTCCCTACCAGCTGGCCAGGCTCAGCTCCTCTGGCAAATAGCTGTCGAGCTTGATGGTACACGGTCTGGATGGTGGTGGGCGTGAGCGGCGTCTGGGGTGTCATTCGCTTGAACAGCTTGCCCGCCGACATGACGGCGTGTCGCGGAGTGCTGGGATAAGAGCCGAATGCATCTCGGTGCCGAGGAGTGGAGGGCGTTACGGGGCTGGGTTTTGACGGGGTTTGGGACTGGATGCGCCGATGCCTCGGTGCTGGCAGCTCCCTGAGCTGGCCTTCAGCCTCGTCGTTTTCATCGTTTGCAGCGGCATCAAAATCGGGGTCTTGGTTCTCATCATTGAACGAGGTGTCCACAAGCCGGCATCGACGAAGTCTTTTGCTGGGAGTCTCTTGTAGGACTGAAGAAAGATGCAGGTTAGCATCCGGAAAGACACGCTTGAAGGATACCTAAAGGATAAGAAGTTGCATCGTGGCAGTGGGACCTACCAGAGTCCAAGTCCAAAGCACTGCGCGTCCTCTTTCTCAGCTGGGAAGAAGGAGCCATTGCAGCTGCCGATAGAAGACTAAGAGGTATAAAAACCAGGTGCTCCTTCCAAAAATGACGTGATGCCAACAGTGATTGCAAGTACAGAGTCAAGAGAAGGAGGAGCCCAGACAGTTGCAGTTGCAGTTGCGGTTGCAGCTGCAGATGGAAATGCAGATGTAGTTGCAGGTTAGGAAGAAATTGCAGGTGCGAGTGTAATTGAGAGAAAAGCTGGAGCCGTGCCTGCCCCCATGTCTGGAAAAAGGGCGGTTTTTGGCGTTGACCAGGGGGGGGGCCTTCCACAGCCGCGAGGGAAGGCGCGTGGGTGCGCGTTAGACCGCGTTTAGCACCAGGACGCGAGAGTGCCTCGTTAATTGGGCGGGCCGTGCAGCGGGTTTCAGCCACTAACAGGCACTACAGGCACTACAAGGCGCAAACAAGCTCTGCAGCACGCGTTTTTGGCGGGCAGTCTCATGTTTGCGCAGTGAATGCATGCATGCAAGCAATTGATGCGTGTTATTATCCTAGCGCTGACAAGCTGAGCGACTTCCTACTAAGGAATTCAGACAATTGATGAGAATCCGCAGACATATAAACTGAAATGGCTGCACACTCACCCATGGACACATTTAAGACATCAATTTGTAGCATACACATCTGCGTGAAACATATATTAATTGTTTCTATGCTGGAGAATAAATTGGGCTACTAATAAAGGCTCATCATTGAACTGAGTAATTAACGTTGCAAGTTGGGCTTTGTACATCCCATTCCAGGCACAAACGTCCTCTTCATCCTTTGCGAGTGTGCATCTACAAAGGGCTATGCTGGGCCATATCTGCAACAACCTCCCTTTTTAATTAAAAAACCCCGGCTGTGCTGTCTCTAAAGAATCCCACATGTGCTATTAAGCCAGGCAAAATTAGCTCAGCTTCAGCCCAAATCTCCAAATGCTCCATCCCTCCCAGATCCCCGATCCTCCCTCCCGGACCCAGCCCAGCCAATCGGCACATTGCGTCATACATCGCCAGGGCGATCCCTCTTGATATGAATGCCACAAACGCCCTTTTAATCCCATCACATCCCTCTCCCTAGAATCCTCCTCATCCAACCTTCAATTCGCACACATTTTCTGCTACTTCACATACATACACAGAAAGAAAAGAAAAGGAAAATGACCACCTACATCCCCGCCATCACATTGCCTTCGGCCGTGTTCCAGAATCCGGCTTCGTCGATTCTCCTCCCCATTGCGCTGGGCACCGCCGTTGGCTTCGGCACTCGACGTAAGAAGAAACACGTCTCGATACATATTCTGCAATGCAAAAGACCTGAGCTAAAATTGAAAACAGCTTCCAAGACGCAAAAGACATATCTTGCCTTGAAGCAGCCTCCTTTAAACCCCCCGCCATGGGTGTTTGGACCCGTCTGGACAGTCCTTTATGGGTAATTTCCCTCCGGCAAAACCATCATGAAGCGTGTCTCAATATCCTGAATCTCATGTCTTTTGAATTTGCTCGACTGACTTACTTGCAAGACTCATGGGATATGCCGCCTACCGTGCCACTAACATCGGCCTCGCCCCGTTGTCTACGCCGCAGACCATCCAGACAACAAAGCATAGCATGACCATTTACACTGTTCAACTTGGCCTCAACCTCGTCTGGATGCCACTCTTCTTTGTCGCCAAGCGCCCGGTTGAAGCTACCGTTGATCTTGTTGCCCTGTTGGGACTCAACGGCTACCTGGCCTACCTATGGGGATCCGTGGACTCTGTTACGGGCTGGTGCCAGGCTCCTTACTTGGCATGGCTGAGCTTTGCCACATACTTGAGTTATGGAGCGGGATATTTGAATGATTGGAACCTGGAAGACACAGAGACTGTTAGAGAGGAGGAGAAGCTGTAAAACCAACTTGAAAAGATTGACAGCAAGACAGTTATGGTCCTAGTACTAGACGCCATGTCACGATACCATATGGAATCACGTTAGATAGCTTTAAGGGTAAATAGCAGCGATATTCAAATAATCTATTGCTAGATTAACTGCCTGTAATATCTATCACGACTCCTTGTCCTTGTATGACCCAAAATCCCCCCTTTTTAGTGCGCGACACCCAACCATGGAAAGCAGAAGAAAAAAAAAAAGAAACGCTGTTGTGATGCCCCTATAAACTTGTCGAACCGACCTTAACAAAAATGTTCTCGCCATGCCAATGACTAGAAAACAATGAAGAATATTAGAAGAAGAGAATAGAAGAGACTGGCAACCGAATGCCCAGACAAGCTTATTGCATGGGGACATGGCGCTTCAGCCCGTCATATACAATGAAAATGAAGGCAGAGCTGGGCGCTGCCCTGGCGCAGGTGACGCCACAGCCACGGTACAGACCTCGCAGTCCGTGGTGCCTCCATATGGCCCGGCCCTCGTTCCAAAAGTCGCGGCGTTGGTGGGCACCGCCCACGGGCGATGTTTGCATGCGCGACTTGATGGTATCGGCAGGGAAGAATAGAAAGTTGTAGGAAACGCCCCCCGATGCGCCGGCAATGGCTTGTTGCCAAAGAGGAAGCGGCTTCGAACGAATCGCCTCCCTCTCTGCCTCAGAGGTGGCAGATCGCACCCGCAGTTTGTAAAACGCCTTTGTGGCTGTCTCTTTGGCCCCGAACCAGGCTGAGCAGCCACCAGCTTCCCGGATCAGAGTACCAAGCTGGCCGTGCCAGAAGCCTCTGATACCCCCGTGCCGATAGACCTCACGGATCACCGCTGTGGGCCGTAGAGGGGCAACTGGCGCTCCCTCAGACAGGGTTGGCGCCTGGATCCTGCATTTGACAAGTTCAATCGGCGTCAGGACAAAGGACGTGAAAACTCCGGATATGGCGCCGGTAAGCCACAACAAGGGCAGTGTCATTTCCTTGTCACGAGAAGCCACGCTGCTCTTGTACAGAAGCTCTCGCCCTACGCTTTCAAACAGAAAGAGGCTGCTAGTTTCGGCGGCCGCACCAAACAGAGGGGCACTGATTCCCCTGTACAGCCCGCGAAGGCCATCGGATTTGATGGATTGTCGGAAGCAGTCCAAGGGGCCGGTGTACCTCAGCGGCAGGTGGTCGGGCTGGCTCTGGAGTCGGACCTTGACGGTGTCGAAGGGATATTCGATGTATTTGCCCGCAATACCGGCAACCTGTAGCGTAGCCCGTTAACTTCTCCTTCGCTTCTCAACGTCACCAAGTCCTTGGGTGCCACTTACCGACCCGTAGATGATGTCTTCGACAGCATCCATAGTCGCAGTTCGGCTTTTGCGTTGGAATGCCAACTCAGGCTGGGCTGCAACCGAGGTGGTCATATCGAGGGTGGCCTGGGCCATTCCGGAGATGGTTCGAGGGTTTGGAGAGGGAAGAGAGCAAAACAGCAAACGCCTTTTCTTTTCTCTCCTCTCAGCGCACTTCTTTCAAAGTCCCTAGCTTTGCCCCCTCTCCTGCGGGAGCGGGGGTTGAAAGCAGGTTTTGAAAGAATACGGCGAGCAGGCAGAAGCTGGGCAAAACTGCAAAAGCGCGAGTTCCCCTGGAGGCGAGGCGAAAGCGACGAGGTTCGGAGGCGCAAAAGAGAGGATGCCCGAAAAGCTTTGAATTTAAGGCGAACGGGATTCCGTGTGGGGGACCTTTGAGCTCGCAATGCTAGTAGCAGTAATAACCAAGAGCCCACACCGACCTCGCCCTACTGTACGTCTGGTATGCAGTAGCAAACAAGGGTTGCGCAGCCAGAGTGACACAAAGGAGACGGGCGGAGATTGTGCCAGTCTAGAGCAGTCGCGGGATTTTATCTTCTTTGTCGTGCTTGCAGCAGAGAGAACAGACTTGGGAGAAGGCGAAAGAAACAAGACAGGGATTCGGCCCTACATTGTATGTACTGTAGAGGCGTGGCTCAGCTGCATGGAGAAAATGGCCCAAATTCCCGTCGAGGCTATCCCACTTGTTTGTGACTCCCAAGAGGCGTGACTGTAAAAAATTGAATCTTATCGACGCTTATCGATAGGATGCGAGGGGTCGGCAATTGGCTGGCATTGGCTGTTCTGATTCGTGTGCCTGCCGAGATCGGTTACGAGCATTTCACACCCCGGCACTTGCATGTGCCTTGCGTGTGCTTTTTTTTTTTTCTTCTTCACTTTTCACTTTTCATTTTCTTTTCTGGGTACTGCATAGGTATGGAGTACCTGTGTCATGGAGGTTACTACTAGCATCTGGAGTCTGTCAGGGGGCTTGTTTGATTACCTGCTCTCTGCTGTCATATAAGGCCTGAGGCGTTGCTGCTAGAAGTGTAGAGTGAGTACAAGAGACATTTAGTTGAATCTTTACCAAAACACCTTATTTTGCATACATCATGCTTCGATCCAAATAACACAAAAGAGACTCTAAAACATCCTCATTTGTACCCTCCGAGTACCCAAGACAACCTCCGGGGACCAAGTTTGCCTGCCGCACGAGTTAGTAGAGTACCTTTGGATCCACGCTTCGTTGCACATCCATCACAGCCCAGCAAATTGCCTGAATAGGCGCCGGGCTAGGAACGGAAAACCGCTCAGCTGCATGGCGCAAGGGAGGCAGCCAGGTACCACATCCGGGCGTATTTCTCCTATGAGACATAAGAGATGTCTACTTGACAGACGTACTGGTGACATCTCCCGTCAGAGCTCCCCGCGTTGAAGCAAACCAGCAGGCTTGAGCAAACAACGGTGTAAGCCGCCATCGGCAAGGGATTGGCATTGTTTTATGAGCCCATCATTTCTTTGAGACATGTACACGATACTAGCCCCGATGGCGTGAACATTAGAAGATTCAAAGCATTGGACTGTAGGCCTATAATCCTGCATATGGCATGCTGCATATTACATTCATGCTGAATGTTGTCTCGTAGCGAGTCTTTCATCACTAAGAGCTACCTTGTGCATTAGCGTTTGACGGCATATGGACCGTTTCTCTTATGGAAACCTCTTGGCTCAGAGTTTTCAGGTGTACCCACCGAACGACTCCGTTATTGATTCCATCCCCATCTCTGTTTCCTTTGGAGTTTGCTTCAGACAGGTTTACTGTTTCCGGACCAATCATAATGAGACTTCACGCCACCTACAGGCATATTGTTAGTACCAATTCAAGCAAACTCTCATTCTATATTAATTTCAAAATGAATCAACCATGGTCGCCGCACCTCGGTGGTATGAATCTAGTCACAAACCGACAGCTCAAACAAACCCATAGTCTGCATGCAAGCTCATACCCCAGGCCCGGCTAGCGTCTTGTCCTGCCCCGCTGGTTACGATATCCAAGTTGCGTTTGATTTCTTATCAGATGATCTGATAATTTTTCTTGGCCCAACATGTAATAATATCCACATAGGACGTCGTATTCTTAACCGAATCAATCGTGCTAGCTACCCATATCCCTTGCGATGCTACACTGTGGCCCTTTACAATTGGGGCTCTGGAGTCGCGGTGCCCTTGGTTTCTTTCGTGGAGTATTTTAAAATGTTTCAACAAGAGAGGGGCCGACAGAATCATGATTCTCTTGTTGGAGACTATTACTCGATATAGAGAGGATCACCACACCTCGGCACATTACGAGTACATAGTAGCCTTGTTCTTTGCCAAGGAGGTAAAGCTGCTGGGGCAGTCTATAGTGTATTATTATAAATGGCCCTGCCGTCAAGGCATCAATCGGCCATACGAGGGAATTGTACTATCCAACCTCGCGGAGTTCCGGTAAACCCGATGCTACAAATACACCACCTTTGTCGTGATACCATGCCACCATCATCTCACCGTTAGTATGGCCGCATGTCCTTCCGCGTAACCAAAGGCTCTCTCCATCGCCATCGCATCACTGCTTCTTCTTGCCCTCCTTCTTTGCCACTTCCTTCTCGTCGTCCAAGTCCCTCTTCTCAGCGTACCACTGTCCTGCTTGCAGCACAAGGATGCCCACCAACACCAGAGCCAGAATGGTGTTGCTCGCCGCCAGAACCTTGAGGCTGTCCTCGCGGCCAAGGATAATCTCGCCCTCAAAACGACCCTGAGAAGCGGCAAACTCCTCCGTGTGCCAGAAGCCGGAGCTGACGGTGCGCAGCCCCTTGACAATGTTGGAGATGTAGACGGCGACGCCGATGAGGTACAGGATCAGCGAGGCGCCGTCAAAGAGGAAGTTGGCCTCGCTGGGGCGGAAGAGCTTGATAAAGAGGCCGAGGAACCCCACGCTCATGATGATGTTGAGGAGGCGCCCGATGAGCGGGGGCGCCTGGTGAACAAACTTGAGATGCGTCTCAAGCATGTCGTAGTAGTCGGCGGCGACCGGCTCCTTGGTCCACAGGAGGGGGAAGTCGTACGGAAACGACGCGAAGAGGATGCCCAAGAAGAAGCATGTCGCTGAAGCCAACGTTAGCACAAAACATGACTATCACCGGCGCCGTCGGCCATCAGGCTCGGTTTGCGACTGAGCGAGATGTAGGCAAGTCAGAGAGAGGCGACGTACGGCCGATGATGAGAAAAGTCGCAAAGGACGTGGATCCTCGGTAGTCCTTTGACTTGGTAGTCTTGGACCAATCAATGTAGGAGCTCATGGCGGGAGGCACTGCTACCAGTGTGTAGGTGCGGTAACGTATTAATTAGAGGCGGAGAATGTCGTTGAAGAGGCCACAGAAGCTGCGCGCAGGTTTCGTCGTTACCATGTGATGGTTGGACATGGGATGAAAAAGAGGTGATCGTGTCCGTCAATCGAATCGTCCGTGCGTGGGGGAGCTGAGTTTGTGGAGGGACCAGACTTAGTGCGATACTTTGTCCAGTTAGTCTTTTTGCTCAGCTACACCAACAAATAAGCGCACAGGGTTCCTCATCGCTAACAGCATCGAGTCTCGGTACTCACGGCGACATTGTCCCCAAAATTTAAGATCTTGGCGCAGAGCTGACGCTGCATCGCACCAGATAAGCTGCACGGCTTCTTATCGCAGCTTACAGGCTGCTGCAGGTCTGCATTTCAGCTGCATATACTCTGTAATCTTCACTCTCTCAATGCGAGCTCAATTCTTCGTCTTTTTGCTTCATTTGCTTGTTCAAGCGTAGCTTCGATTTCTGTTTTATTTTCTGTCGTGCTGCTCAATCAATTCGTTGGCAACCACCTCCCACGCAGCTCTTTTTCAGTGCCAGCCTCCTTGTACCTGAAGCTTCAACTCCGTTGTACAACGCTCCTTTCCCTGCAAATACCGACAAAAATAATACAATCATATCCCATCGCAGTCATCATGAATCAACCCTTGACCTTTCTGCTGCACCTGCTACTCTTTGTCCCGCTCGTCTACGCCGCCAATGCTACAGTCTCCGTCTACGACGATTCCGACAAGTACAAATACTTTGGGTGCTACAACGAGACGACCCAAGTTCCCGGCTCGGCCGACACGCGCGCCTTAGGCGGAGGTATCCAGGAGAGTCTGCCGGGTGCGATGACGGTGCCGACATGTCTCGCCTTTTGCGGCAATGGTGCCACGGAGTATCGGTATGCGGGACTGGAGTGGTCGAGGTATGTTTCAGTCACTAGACTTATGGCCGTGAGACAAGAGGGCGGACGGACATTGTCGTGGCTGACTCTTCAACACCAATAGAGAGTGCTGGTGCGCCCAAACACTGTCCGGCATAGCTGAGAAGCTCGATGATACGGCCTGCAACTATCCCTGCGAGGGTGACAATACGACCGCCTGTGGTGGCTCTTTGAAGCTGACCGTCTATCGTGTTTCTTTGGCGAGCGGGCTGTCTGCTCCTGGCCTATTTAGCCTCGCCACCACAGGGTTGGCCATGATGATGTTATGGTAATGCGTTACGCGATAATGATAATGACTGCTTGTTGAATTGTACTGCGTGAATACGAATGTGAATGGGTAATATCCCATCTGTCTAGAAGGATAGTAATAGATGTAGCGCGTTGAATAGTTAAAGATGTTTATATAGATTCAAGGACAGTGGGATGTAATGCCCCTGAATGCACAGTCCTGCTCAAGTGATTTACAAGCATACAGCCTCATAATCAATATACAAAATTGTATTATATTCACGCAGATATGTTCAGTCATGTCATATTTGCAATGGTGCCAGACCCCTCTCCTCAACAGCGGCTTGCATTGCCGCTTTGATGCCGCTCACTGCCAGCTTCCAAGCTCGGCGGCCTCGACTATCCACACCGTCTTGATCAACCACAACGCCCAGCCATTTGATCAACGCAACGGCCTTGGTCAGATCCATTTCCTCTTTGATTACTTTCACCAAATATCTTTCCAAAACGTCGACATCTCGTTTGTGAGGCCCTGCCTTCCTGGTTTGGGCATGCCATGCGTCTACCATGTCCTTGATCTCTGATGTAGAAGTGATGGATCCAGAAAACGAAATTACCGGCGGTAGCATAGGAAACTGTATCATTTTTTGTCCTCCGGGAAGTAAGTTACCACTCTGATTGTTCCTCAGGATCGGCATCTCCAATCCCGACTGCAGCGCCAACAGCCGCCGTCGATGATCGGCAATTACTTCTCTTCTGACGTCTTCTGGAAGTTCCGCAAGAAATTCTGGATCTAATTCTTCAATCTGCTCAGGTTGAGCCTCCTCTATGGGTACTGGATTCCGGAAGTTGGTTTGAATAACACCCTCCTCAGCATCTCGCCGACGTGATATTTGGTCCAATGTATTACGGGATCCGCTGGGTTTGGTTGGAGTTGTTGGTTTCCTAGTTCGAGCTGCTTCGGGTCTGTCAGGTGAGCCCTGTGGCAAAGGCTCAGTTGGCTTTCGCCTGTAAAGTGCCAATACCTCGGCTTTCATATCATCTGGAAGTGCGTTAAACACCTCCAAATCGACTTGAGAGGACAGCAAATCTGCTAGAACTGGGCTTCGGGGTCTCAACTTGGGAGCCTCCATTTGTAATTCCGTAGCAGCGGCTTTTGGGCGCTGAGCCATGAGCTTGGTACGAATATCGCTGGGTAACTCGGCCAAGACCGCGGGATCAGGACTGCTGGGCAACACGAATTGGGTGCCCGGAACGTTGATATGCGCAGTGGCTTTTTTATCTTCTTGGCCGACTCTGAATTTCTGAGGTGTGGTAGGATTGTCCGATAAGCCATTCCGCTCTTCGAGCACGTCAATAAGCTCTGTTCTTGATTGCTGTTTTGAAGGAACTGGCTCAACAAATGGAGCAAATGCAATCTTTCTCTGGCTTCCCTCCACGGCCAGTGGGTTCAACTTGATCGGCTCCAATTTCGTCATCTGGACGCCAATTCCACGAAGATCCCCAGGGCTGAACCTGAACGAGCGCAGTATCGAAACCGCTTCTTTGCCAATAATCTCATAGTTGTGAGTTGCAACACCAAAAGTTGCGCTTTTGTTGAAAGAATCGCATTTTCCATGCCCTAAATGCTTCGTTGGGTCGAGAGGCGCATCGAGAGCCCGCCTCATGATCTTCACTGTCAGATGCTTTCCCTTGACTTGCTCATTCACCAAACGCTTTTCCAGCTCCTTGCAGAGGTTGTAGACAAATTCTTCAGCTTCTGTCTGATTGATGAAGCGGATTCCCCAACTGACCTCTGCTGATACGGATTTCCTGGGCGGCTGCTCTCCGACCTCCGTCCGATCGATGCCACGGGCGTAGTCATGAAGCCTGTCACTGGTCTTGGGGCCCAGAACCGTTACGAGACGGTCTTTGGGGATGTCTCTGAGATCTTTGACAAGCTTGACGCCTAATACTTCTAGCTTCCCGCCAATACTGTATGCCACTCCTGGTAGCTCCTCAACCTTGAGATCACCGATGACTTCCATAACCTGCTCTGGTCTTAATTGAAACTGTCCGTCGGGCTTTGCTTTCCTCAAGGCAACCTTGGCTTGCAGAATATTTGCGCCGACACCAACAGAAACGGCACAGTCGGTACTCTCTTTGATCTTGTTGCGCAGGGCCAATGCTATCTCGTCGACCTTTTCCTGTTCTCTCCAAATACTGCCCTCTTCAACTCCAGTGCCGTGGGATTCGGCGGCAGCAAGGACGACATCGGTGGCATCTACCAAGGCCTCGTCGACGCTAACACTCTGGACAATACCACCCACTCCCAAGACCGCATCGTAGAATTGACGGCTCACCTCCTCGTATGCGAGAAAATCGTAAGGCAAAACTTTTAGGTCAGGACACAGCTCGAGAGCTCGTTTCATCCACATGCCATTCTTAACGCCATATTTCCGAGCAACGTAATTGCAACTTGCAATTTCCGAACCAGCACCCGTGCTGTGGGCGACAACGGATGGCTTATCCAGATATTCGGGATGGCGCTTTAATGACACTGTGCAGAAGAAGCTGTCAAAATCCACATGCATAATGTACCTCCTCGAGCCAGGCCGGCTCTTCACCTTCCGATTTGATAGCCCCTTTTCAACTGCTAACCGTTGCATAGACGACTTCAAATTTGCTTTCCAAGTCGATAGATGATGCAATCGACTCTCTGAGTAGAACTGTTTCAGAAAATCGGGATTCGCAGTGGATGATTTTCTTATTTTCGGATCCGATAGAAGCCAAGCGTTATGCTCTTCCGAGGTCATATTCTTGGGAGATATTTTTGATGAGTCTGCCGGGCTGGTCGAAATGGGCGCAAGCTGTTGCTCAAAGTCCATAGGTTCGTCTTTGGGTTCTTCATCGCCTGCATTGTCCGTTGAATACCTTTCACTGGACGCAGAGGCCAAACGCTCTTCTGTGCTTTGTAACAGCTCGCCAGACTTGTCGGTTTGCCACCGATTAGACAGGGGCGATTTCTCTATGAGCTGTGTTGCTGTATTACGCTGCGCCTCGGCTTTTATCTGGCTTGTATAAAAGCTATTCTCTGTCTGCTCCTTGTATCCCCGCCTGGCCGTCGGACTGGATTGTGTAAGTCCTCTGTCGCTATCGAATTTCAAAACCTTTTGGCTGGGGCTTTCACCCAGCACCCGATAGTCCGACCACGGCAAGAGTTTTCCGGCTTTTATTGAATCGACGACCCATGTAGGCTTCACAATCCTGTATCGACTAAACTCAACAGCCTTCTTTGGCGTTAGGGTTGCAGTGATGATATGTGTTGCCATAGTTTTTGAGTCCAGATACTGAAGAAAGCCACCTCCATGCTGTACAATGTCGCGATGAAGCCTGTCGGGGCCTAGATCAGTACATTTATGAATAATCGTGGTTCAGTAAAAGGGCACCTACACTTGAAGTGGTGGTTGAGTGTACCCGTTGACATGAGCAACAACCCCCTTGAATATCGGAGGCTTGTCAGATGCTGCGCGCATTTCGGCATCTAGATTCTGCAGCTTGATCTTTTTCCGACGAAAATAGTCGCCAAAGCCATTAAATTCACTTCCTTCATACTCCTCTCCCTCTTCATCTTCAAAGACATGGCCCTCAATGCGTTTCCTCACCGCGGAGGAGTTCTTTTCCAGAGCGTTATTCATCTTACCCAACGACACTATATGAGAATTACTCTTGAAGCCTTCAAAAGCAGATCAGCTCGAGTTATTGAAGAATGCACGGCCACAATATATCAAGAGCAACGCATGTCCGTGAAGCCCCACAAATCCAGTCAATGAACCAGGCAAAAGGGGGTATTTTGGCACATTGATAACGGCATTTCTTTTAGGTACTCGACGCCATGCGTTCTCGGGTTATAAGATTCCTAAGCAAATGGCAGCATTTCATTAGCGATGCTGGAATTGCAGGTGGAGGGGAGAAATGGCCGTTCCGGATGTGACGTGATGAGTAGAAGTTGCCGCGTTAAGTGGAGCTTATGCTGCGCGCCTCTTGCACGTCGTCCCGTGACTTTAAAGTCAAGTCTCCTCCGCCACACCTCCAGCCTTGCCTTCCAAGGCTGCGTGCTTGTCCTTTTTTGTCTGTCATTGTTGGAGAGGCTTTTTATCGCATCTGGGCATACTAGCAATCATGAATAATGATCAATTCCGAAAGTTGATGCTGACCAAGTCGGGCAAGGCGTCAAAAGATGGCGCTTCATCCAAAGGCACGAGCTCCGGCGCGAACACGGGTTCCTTGGGATCTCGGCAGCGAAGCAGCATACCTATGACTCCGTAAGTTGCAGCAGCTGATATTCGGGGTGATTATACTGACACGCGATTCAAGGCGATCTTTAGGAGGTGCCCAGGCCGATTTCGCGAGACAGCTGGCTGAACGTAACCAAGCTCTACATCCCCCGAAGAAGTTTAAAACATCTGTACCAAAGGGTGTGAAACTGGGGGAAGGATACGTCGATAGATCGCAAGCTCGAGAGAACGAAGATGACGACCGAGAAGAGAGACTAAAGGCGTTGGAAAAGTCTTTCAAGGACGAAGAAATCGACGAGGCAACATACCAAAAGCTACGGTTTCAGATTGCAGGCGGAGATCTGTCAAGCACTCATCTAGTCAAGGGGCTTGATTTTAAACTTCTCGAAAGGATACGCAAAGGAGAGGATGTCTACGGAAATAAGGGAGCGGAAAAGGATGGCGCCGAAGAAGCACCCTCAGATGGCGATGTGGATGACGAATTCGATCGACTCCAAGAACAAAACGTACAGGCCATTACGAAAGAAAAAGCGGAAAAGAAAAAGGGCACTCTTTCAACAGTGTCTCTGGCGCCTGGGAAAAAGAGAACGCGCGATCAAATTTTAGCAGAGATGAAGGCTGCCCGATTAGCAGCCCAGCAACAGCAGGAATCAGCCCTCGGAGACCGATTCAAAAAGATTGGAGCAAAACAGAAACCAGGAACGCGGATTGAGAGAGATAGTAGGGGTAGGGAAGTTTTAATCATTGTGGATGAAGATGGGCATGAGAAAAGGAAGGTCCGCAAGGTACAGCCCGGAGAGGAGGATGCGCGGAACGGTCTTCTCATGCCGGATAAGGACGCCAAGCCATTGGGGATGGAGGTTCCTGAGCAATATCGGAAGAAAGAGGAACTAGAGGAAGACGACGGCGACGTTGATATCTTCGAGGATGCTGGCGATGATTACGATCCACTGGCCGGAATGGGGGAATCGGACTCTGCATCGGACGAAGAGGAGAAGAGCAGTAACCAGGAGGCAATCAAAGAGGCAGATACCAGCAAGGCCATGCCACCTCCACCAAAGCCATCCATTTCACAACCAGATCGACGCAATTACTTCAAGGACTCAAGAACCGCACTCATCTCCGAAGAAGCAAGCAGAGGGCCATCCATGTCTGATCCGGCAATTTTGGCTGCCATCAAGAAAGCAGCATCTCTCAGGCCCATTGAACAAGATGCCGAAGATGACAAAGCAAAGGAGGAAGCCAAGGCACTGGAGGAACGGCGAAAGAAGCTTCTTCAGATGCAGAGCCGGGATGACGACGATATCGATATGGGCTTCGGCACCAGCAGGTTTGAAGATGAAGAAGACTTTGAGGATAAGAAAGTGAAGCTATCGAGGTGGGGCGAAGATGCCGGGGAGGAAGGGTCCAGCAGGGGCGACAAGTCAAAGCGGAAGAGAGGGCCAAAGAAGCGAAAGGGTGATGCCAACAGCGCAGCTGATGTGATGCGGGTCGTCGAGCAGCGCAAGAAGTCAGAGTGAGGGACCGCCTCGGGAGGCCGACAAGCCCAAGTTTGTTTGCGCAATCGGCGGGCACAATATGCATTTCGATTCCTCAGAGTATCCATAATAGCGGCTGGATAGAAAGCAAATATAACGTACTAGATACCCCCAGTCATTCTTCAGCTCAGCTCCGGGCAATTCGACTATCCATCGCGGAGCTCCGCGCTGCCGTCAAGACTCTAGCCAGACTATGATGAGTAACTAGTCGTCACTTGTGGCTCCGGACGCCGACGATTTCCAGACACCTTGAAGTTCCCTCCGTATGGATACCGGCGCCCCGGTTTAACCGCTTCCATTATCAAATTCCAGACGCCAATGACACAGACTTTCGGTTCCTGGCGATGCTAGTCTTGCTGTAGTATCAAGCGTGAATGAGGGGTCAGCCAAAGGGAAGCCTTGCTGTATGGATTCCCCCACTCCAGGGCCCTGCGACTGCGGAGAAACAGAGAGAAAAAAAGAAGCGGGTTCCCTGGAGCAGCGAATTGGTGGCTGTTCAAGGCTCGCCGTCAACCGAAAGCGCGGTGGCTGATTTCTCGAGTTCATCATCTGGGGCTGTGGATGTCCTTCGATTACGGAATGTGAACGCCTGCCTCAGTTCCAAGTCTTTCTGTGCGCCCTTCCGCGACCTTGAAATTACGTATAAAGAGAGGCTTTAAGATTACCGTAAAAGTTTCTCCTTCTCATTGAGAACGTATCTCGTCTCCCGTTTGGTGCCATCTGCCGTCTATTCTAAGCCCTCTCTCACCTTGCACTAAATATGTCATCCGATCAAGTGCCTGTTTGGCTGGATTGCGATCCGGGCCACGATGTGAGTTTCCCGGCATGTATAAAGCCCAGATGCAAGTCTTGCGCAGAGTCGCATTGCATGAGGCGCGCTCGGTGGCCGAACTTTGTCGGAAACGCACAAGCTAACTGGGATATTCTTCGCACAAGGACGCCTTTGCCATTCTGCTGGCGGCTCACCACCCCAGAATCAACCTGCTGGGCATCTCGACCGTCTTTGGAAATGCTTCCCTCGAGTACGTGCCATGGGCAAAGAGCGAGAGCCTTTTGGCTTTGATGCTTGTCACTGCTATTCCAACAAGCCGAGGCACTCCCAGCTGACGTTGAAATCTCTACCAGACACACGACGCACAATGCCGCTTCCATTCTGACGGCCTTTGGCAAGCACAATGATATCCCTCTATACGTCGGCCTCAACAAGGCCCTCGAGCGCCCTGCTCTCCACGCGCCAACCGACATTCACGGCGAAAGTGGTCTCGACGGCACCGAGCTGCTCCCCGTTCCGAAATGCTCCCCGAAGCCCGAGCCGGCCATCGACGCCATGGCCGCCGCTCTCAAGGCCCAGCCGGCCGGCACGGCCTGGATCGTGGCCACCGGCACAGTCACCAACGTCGGCGCCCTGTTCCGCAAGTATCCGGAGCTCGTCGCGCACATCAAGGGCCTGAGCATCATGGGCGGATCCATCGGGGGAGGCTTCTCCGACGCACCACTGGGCAAGGTCGACGGCAAGGAGCGCATCGGCAACACGACCCCCTACGCCGAGTTCAACATCTTCGTCGATCCGGAGGCGGCGGCCGAGATGTTCCACAACAAGGAGATTGCCAAGAAGATGTTCATGGTGCCGTTGGACCTGAGCCACCAGGTCTTGGCGACGGAGAAGGTCAGAGATTTGCTGCTGTACGGCAAGGACGGCGAGAAGACTGGGACTGGCAAGACGACGCTGCGGACAATGCTCGTTGAGCTGCTCTACTTCTTCGCCAAGACATATGCGTAAGTTTTTCGTTTCCCCTTTCCTTCTTGTAGACTGTGAAAGTTGGGTTGTTTTAACAAATTTTAAACAGCGATGTCTTTGGCATCACCGCCGGCCCGCCCCTCCACGATCCTCTCGCCATGCTCGCCGTTCTGCTCGGCACCCCCGACGAGATTGCCGTTTACGACTGGGACGAGAAGAAGAGCCAGGGGCCTAAACACAACGAGCGCTTTGACGTTACTGTCATCACCGAGGGTACGATCGAGGAGGCCAAGCGCGGAGAGAAGCAGACCGGCAGGACGGTCGCCAAGGAGGCGCCTGCAGGAGAGGGCGGCGTGATTATACCCAGAGGAGTGGACGTGGATCGGTTCTGGCAGGTGATTGAGGAGTGCATCGAGAGGGCGGACGAGACAAACCGTAACCTGAGCAACTAAAGAAATTGCATGGGTTGTTTTGTGTTTTCTTTCATGTCGGGCATTTGATTCTTCTTTTTTTCTGCATTGGGATATAAAAGGATAGATAAATTTTGTTTCGTGGTTGTGGCCATTACATTAGTTAGATAGGTCTAGACACATTCTATTCATACAGTCAAAGAAGTAATGTTACACGGCTAAATCATATCGACGCTTCCCCTTCATCTTTATCAAAGCTCATTAGAAGCTTCAAGCTTCGTTCATACGTCCAAAGTGTAATTGCACTCGAGGGAGCAGCTTTCACCAAGCTGATCGAGAGACCCTTGTATAGGCCTCGCAGCCCCTCTGTTCGGAATATTGACTTGAGACCTCGTGCCGCGGTGGTGTAGATGGGAATGTCATTGTACACGTACTTGCTCCGAGTGGGACCCTGTACCTGAATGCGCTTGCGGACGAGATCGAGCGGGAAGACGGCCGTTTTTGCAACGACACTGGCGATGATGCCGGCCGTGGCATCGCCGCTGCCCCAGGGGAGGTGGAGGTGGCCAAGCCGAAGCCGCAGGCCTTCGTAGGAGGCGAAGAAGATACCCATAAAGGGGATGATCTGGCCCAGAGCCGGCCCCAGGCCGCGGAAGAAGCCCTTGGGTCCCTCGTCGCGGTAAATGTCCCACAGTGCACCGCGCAGAGACGAGTACACTCGATGTCTCCCCTGGGCGGCGAACCGCGTCCTCAGCAGGTCTAGAGGATACGTAGCCCCCGTGGCCGCAGCTCCGGAGACGGCGCCGGCTACAAACGTCTCTGCCGAGTCGGGCATGCGCGCGGGCAGCGCAGTCCGCAGGAAGACAGTGGTGGAGCGGTACGTGGTGAACTGGACGGCCGAGTAGCACACGTACATCAGCTCGGCGGGCACGTTGCCCTTCCACAGGCCCGTGAGGCCCTCATGCCTGAGGATGTGCCTGATGGTCTGGACGGTGCCGCGGTAGGCTGGCGCCTCGCGCAGGGAGGCCAAGGGGTCGGAGAGCGAGTATGGCTGAAGCTGGAGGCGGATCTTGACGACGTCTAGGGGGGCGACGATGAACCTGCCAGTGGAGAAGAACAAATTTTGAGCCAACCCGGACAATTAATCATGCAGGGCAGTGTGTGATACTATTTGGGGTTCGGAGAGCGAAGTTGTGGTTTATTTCGGAGAGCGGACTTTGGCTTACCGAGAGACGAGGCCAGCTATGGCGCCGGCTGACACGACTTGGAGTTTCGAACCCTGTTGGACAAAATATTAGTATCAGAGTGCGCAATTTTTTTCGATTGGTTACTTTTCTTGTTGCGGAATCAAGGAGAAGTATGACGAACCTCATCTTTGAGGTGGCCGCCTCGGGGCGACATGCAGGAGTTTGCGCTTCAGATTGGGTTGATGTGCGCGGGAGGTTTGGCCTTGTCGAAACTGAAAGGGAGATAAGAGGATAGAGGATAGAGATTGGCTTAGATAGGGTTCGATGCTGGTTGAGGGCTTTTGCCTTTGCGGCGATGACGGCTCAATGTTGTTATTTTGCGATTGCGATTGCGATTGTTTTGCGCCTAGGCGATAAGTTTTCGAGCTTGGCCCGTGGAATGATAAGGGAGAATCGGAGCCGACGGAATGCGCGTTTGAGCGGGATGGCAGCCGTTCGGAGCGAGATGGAGCAGGTTTTGGGAAAGGGGGAGATTTGATCAATTCCCTCTGTTTTTTTGTTGTCTCAAGATGATGATTGATGACAGCATTACGATTACTCCCCAGGGGATATTTTTTTTGATAAGGTTTTTTGGCTGTCCATTGTTTGTGACGCCATTGGCGTGGTGCTGGATTGAGAGCGTGCCGATGACATCAATTACAGGTACGGGGATCAGGTACAATGTACTTTTGCGCCTAATGCCATCCAGGTTGCTAAGACAGACGCATGTACCTGTAGCAAATGGCACCAAACAAGTTGCTCCTATTTTCAGATGATGAGCTGAAGGAGCTGATGATGCCAAATAAGGAGAATGAACTGACGATGCCGCTATCTTTACGACCTGATATGTAGTCAACTTCGAATTGAATCGATCCAGGCTCAGTCATTGTGCATGGACAAAGCAGTAAGCTTGCATTTGACCCGACAAGGATACGGACCAAAGATAAACAAACCCCAAGGATCTGTGCACTTCAAAGGCGGAACACCCGTCTTACTGTCGCCGACGATACGGAATATTAGTCAAAGGGCATTGGCCGGTGTGACAAGCATGTAATAATACTAAGTATGTCCAAGTCCTTGTTACTCTTGAGATGCCGGAGCGCCGAACCGGTACACTTCGGCGCTTTTTCCCCATGCACCTTCGGCGGACAGAAGGAAGCGCATCTATACAAGTCAGTGATAGATTTCCTAGGGTGGGACCTCTGGATGGAATCTACGGACTACTCGTATCTGGCATGTGAAGAAATAAACACTAGACGGCCAAGATGGACGAATTCCAATTGAGGCTCGAGCAAGGGGGTCGTTGATCCTTGCACCGAACGTGCTTTTCCCGGCAGGTGGATATAAGTGAGCTGGACATTGAGGCCTCGAATCCGTCGACATGAAGCATCGACGTGGTGCAAGGGCACAGTCAGCAGCTCTGTGCATGCTTGGATTTAGAATGTATCAAGACAGGAAAGGAAAAGGCAGAGAGAAAAGACGGTGTAACCACTGTAGCATTACCTACAGCTGCCCAGACAATTTGCCGTGATGCCCTCCTCGCCGTTACAGCACATGTACGAGTATGTACGAGTGCTCACCAGACTCCGTCCACGTCCCGCCAATCCCACAGTCGCATTACCAACTTACTATGGCAGCTCCCACAATAAAACGTTACCCCAAGCCTCCCCCACTGACCACTAACGCCCAGCCCAGCCCAGCGCTGGCGAAATTCCCTTGTGACTGGAACCTGAATAATCGCTCTTCTCTTCCTTTCCCCCGGGGAGCCACAGTCCCTGCGCGTGCCCCGCCCACTGGTCGGCTGCACGCTGCAATGCCATGTCTACAGTCAGTACCTGGACTTGGGGGTGCCGCGTACCCGCTACTGCGTCGCTGCGCAAATTGCACGGGTTACCCCAAGGTACTAGGAACCTGACTGCAACGCCGCCTCCGTCCCGGGCGCTACCCTTCAGGTACTTGCGACCGCCCGAACCCTGGCCAAGCCTCCACGATGCCTGGAGGGCACTTCCATGGAACCAAGTTGCATCTGCTTGATACAGGGACTCTATATGAACGTCACTCACCCGCACACACTCTTCTCTCTCTCTCCTCTTTTCTCTTTTTTCTCTCTCCTCTGTCTTGGCATCATCCTCTCCGTCCTTTTCTCCTTCTCTTCTCCGAGACACGGTGTCTTTACGCTTTTGCGAAACCTTGAATCAATATCCACTACGTAGTTGGACGCCTGAGCGGCGCATGTGACGCTTGCCACACAAATTTCCAGACCTCAGGAAACCAAACCACCACAACTTCTTAGGGCCGAACTCTACCTTATCTTTTGCCCAGGCATTTCCCTCGCCTCTTCGGCAAATACATTACCCAAGTCAAACAAAGTTCTGAGACACCCATCAGAACCCAAGACTTGTTTCTTTGGAATTGACCTCTTCTATCAAGCATCAAGGTAGCCTGCCAGCCTGCCTACCTACCATGGGCGGAACAGTCGCTTCTCCAGATCTCGCCAACTTGCTGGCTCCAATCCTTCCAGCACTTCCCGCGGCTGCTATATCGACCGAGCCGGCTGTGGGCATCTTGCCGCTACTCTCGCCTATCCTGAGGCAGCGGGTGAACCTCTTCTCCTCGTCTAGCACAGAGCCATGGATTAAGCTGCTGTGCTACGACACAACCAAGGCCGCAAAGCTGGCCGAGCTGGTACAGAGTGGAATCCTGGAACCTCATCCAGTCTCGGGAGAGGTCGAGGTTGACTGGAGCTACGACGCACAGTCAAGGTTCCGGAGGCTAGACCAAGAGACGCTGCAGGCGCTGATCGTCTTGACCGAGCTTGGCCTTGCATTTCAGCTGGTATACTGCGTCAACGATGCCGCAGGTGGCGGCGATGGATGGAGAGTTGGCGAGATTGCCCTGGCAGACAAGGCCTCGCCCTTTTCGCAGTTCGGCGGCGTCCCAACCGTTGCAGAGGCTGAGGCCAGGTTTCAAGAAGCCAAAATCACCAACCCCACCGTGACCTATAACAACGGCTCAACCACCAGCAGCGAAGACCTGATGGATGACGAGGAGGACGATGGATACTGGGACCGGTACGATGCCACTCCCGCGCGCACTCCTGCCAACAATCGCTCTCCGGCTCCTCGTGCCGGTGCCAGTGCTGCTGCTGCGACCTCCGCCTCTGCAGCTCATCTGAGCGCCTACGACGCCTCTGCGGTCATGGAGGATGACGACGACGACTATTATGCGCAGTACGACGACGTCCAGCCCGCCATGGACAACCACGATCCCGATGAAGAGGCTCAGCTGCGCGCTTTCGTCCAGCCACCCCTCGGCCTCGGCCGCGCCAACGCTACCGACTCCTTCATCGTCACAGACCCCAACGAGACCCGCAGGTCCTGGTCTTTTGACGACGCAGACAAGCCCAGCAGCTCTGGCAGCATCAACAACCAAGCGAAATCCGACCTCCCCTCCGCTCAAGAGCTTGCTCTCCTACACCCGCGCCCCGAATCTAGCGCCAGCTCCAACGGCTCACATACCGTCGCCCGACTCGAAGCCTCTGCCGGCAAGCAGGAGCAGAACGAGTTTGGCGTCAAGCAGCACGTGTCTCGCAGCATTCGCAGCTTGTTTCTGCTCGCCAAGTCGTCGGGCATTGAGCGGGAGGAATTTGAGCGGCTGGTGCGCGAGGAGATGGACGTTTTGTCCATGATTGAGGACCAGGACTGATCTATTGCTTACTATATACCCCCAAAAAAGTAACCTTGAGAATGGCGGATATTTGAATTTGAATTCGGAATGCATATGATGGAGCAAATTGGAATACATGGAAGGTAACTG